TAAATAAAGTAATGAACTCGGCAAACCCCATACTGAGCAATTTTCTTCATATTCTATCTGCTAACGTACAACAAATAAATAACATATGATACATACAATAAATTCGGTAAGACAAAAACAAAGTGACCAATAACGATAAATGAAATATAATAAATACTCAAGTACCTGTGTTATTTATTAACTCTTATTTAGTAGTTTCACGTCTACAATGCATACCCACGGGGGGCTGTACTCGTTTACTCTCTTTACACGTGTACATCAAGGCCGTCTATATTAAAACTGGGAGCACCCATCCGGTAATATAAAGCTTCTGCCTTAATAAAATTAATAATCAAATAAACCTGAACTTACAATACTGCATGCTATGGACAGTAAACTAATAAAAAAATTCTTTTTATTCAAAATAAAAATTATTGAGTCTAGAAATTTATTTTGAAGAGTTTATTGATTGAATCAATAAGAAAAATTCTTGAATCAAGGAATATTTACTTGAAACAAGGATAAGTTCTTAGTTTAAGAATTTTTTTTTTTTTTTTAAAGACATCTGTTGATTTTTAGAATTTTTTTATTAAATAAATTTTTCAAAGAAAAATTTAGTTAAAAAATGTCATTTTTAGAAGCTCTAAAAAATTATAAATAAAATTTTTTTAAAATAATTTTTTATACCTAGTTTATTTTTCAAGAAAAATAAAAAAATTGTCAAGTGTCTGCTAACTTCAGTGTCATAATTATGTTCTTGTTTCAAGAATTTTTCTCTAGCTTGATTCATGTTTATTTTATTTTTTTTTTTTTTTCAATGTTTAAAAAACATCTCAAATATTTAATATTTCAACATTTTATTGTCTTGAATCAAGATGAAAAATTCATGAACTAAAAAATTTTTCTTAAATCAATAATTTTTTTTTCTTAATTAAAAACAATCAAACTCTTCCAAATAATTGTTTTACTTCAAAAATGTATATCTTAAACGAAGAGAATTTTTTTTAGTGTATATAAACTTTTTCAAATTTTATTTTGTACTGCTCTAATTATAGATTCATACGATGAAATAGTCTATCTGCATTGATCTCATAATCAGATAACTTAGATTGTCCAGAAGCACGGTAATGCCCGCGTCACGGATATTCCGATATCATTAAATTCCGTAGTAGTGAGTTCTATTTTCGCGGAGTGAACAATCGATTATGTAGACTTAGTAGCTCGGTTACTTATGTACATCTACGTAATAACTAATAACATTACTGGCCTTGACTATCCTTAATCTTGAATAAAGTAAGATTCTATTATATCCAATTTGCACGATTTAAAACAAAGAATCCGGTGTTTCTTTTTTTTTTTTTTCACGGCGGCTATTATTCAATTAGCCGCTCGACGCTTTGTTCAATGGAATTGACAATTTTAGTATAGTCAATTGTCATATTTTTAAATCACGATTACCTTTCGCGAGGATAAACCAATATACACGTATTTATGCTACAGACGACTTTTTCAAGGCTGTCATTTGTCAAACGAGAGGTAATTGACCGAGGTTCAATGCTTGCTCATCTTTATAATTTTTAATTTATTTTTTTAATTTTTTTTTTTTACTTTTCTTAATGCGCTTTAATACCTTAATTACGCTTAATTATATAAATATTTAGATAGATTATGATAAAACATTTTTCGACAATTTTTCGAAGTTTACAGCTCGAAATACAGTAGAAATTTTTTCGTCGTTGTAAAAATGTAAAAATTTTAATTTTGATTTAATTAAAATTAAAATTAGTTTTGATTGAATATTCAACATTTTAGCGTGTTAATTTAATAACACAATCGTTTGTATTCTTTGATCGATCTATTTTTAAACACATAAAAATATTATGCAAGTAATACTTTTTCAATATATGTTACACTAACCCAAATCTGTATTACTTTAAAACATAGAGTTGTGTTACTTTATTGTTATACATAGATTGTGTTGAATTAACACTACACAGTAATAAATCTTGCGTCAAAAAAATTTTTTTTAAATGCTGCATTAAATATTTAACACTTCTTTAAGTTGATTTAAGAGAAATTAATAAAAAACACTGTTAAATTTGAACATAAAAGTGTTAAACATTTAACACAAAAGTTTTTTGAAAAAAATTTTTTGATGCAATGACGCAAAATTGTTTACTGTGTAAGTTTGTGTAAAAAAAGTCATTAACACAAATTTTTCTGTTGAATTTTACGAAAAATTTTTTTATCTACACAAAAAATAATCTTATCAGCTTGTAATTAATCGATATTAGAATAAATTTGCTGGAAACCCTAAAACTATCAGTATCGCCGGTAAATTTGATGCAAATGAGATTATTGGGAAGTTCCCAAAGCTAGTTAATTAGGAAATTTTAATTACTATTAACATTAACCTTAGCTCGAATGTATAAACATTTACGTAATATTCTTGCTTTAGTTAATCGATAGAATTTCAATAAAAAATAAAAATTACAATTCAATTGTGGAATATAATTTAAGCGTTCTAGTAGAATTTCGCGAAATCAAACGTTAGTTATCAACAAAAATTACTTTCAATTAGCTATCATCACCTTGTAAATCATATTCTAAGTCAATATTAATTTTGGCAACCAAATACTTACTAAAGTATTTCTGTACTAAAATAAATTTAAATATGGATTTTTTTTTGTGAATAAATAAGATGTAATTTCTATGTTATCAAATGATAAATTTAATTGCTTGTAGAAGATAATGATTTTAATTATACTTAGATAAAATTTACATTGCGAATTAAAATAACAATGGGCTTTAAAATAATTAATGTAAAAAATAAAATAATATTTTTATCTACTTAAATTAAGATGTCAGTAATATAATTATCAGTTTTTTCATTTTTTTATTAGTCAATTTTGTTAAACTCTCATTAGAATTTCATACACATGTTTAAAATGCATAAACAATTTTGTAAAAATCATTAAAATTAATTTATTTCTTATATTTATATATATACACTAGACATTTAGAAGACGAAATTTGTAAAACGCGCGAGACTCGGGTTCGATTCCCAGCGCCGTTAAAAAAATTTTTAAGTTTTAATTTAATCAAATAATTTGTACTGATGGGTAATAACTATAGAGGATTTTAAAAATAATTTATTAACGAAGATTAATATACTTTTATTAACTTGATTAATTAATTAGAGATACTTGAAAGCAATATCTTGAATATTTGATGACACGATTGAGAAATACAATTATTACTATTTACATACTACTTTATCTTGATAAAAAAAATCCCATGCTGTCGTTTATCTAACGAGTTAGTTAATATATGTTGGTGTCATTGTGGATAATATAAATTTTATCAAATTCAACTCAAGGACAACAATCATTAACGGAATGGAGTCTACCGTGCAATGTGCTCACAGCAACATACTATCGTTTTCATCCCGTATATATTTATTAATAATTATAAACCCGATAGATTTTATTAATTATAAAATCTTATTAAAAAATTTTTATCGCATTCAATGAAAGTTGATGACGCTAATTACGAAACTGACAACACATTTAATGACGATTGCATTTATAATTTATTTATGAATGACTATATAAATATATTTATAATTTTCTTGCGTTTGATGATTATTTATTGACTAAAAAAATTGAATTTCTAGTAATTCAATGGATTGGTCAGCGTAAGCTTAAATTATTATTTATATGCTAAAGCTATTTTTCTACTTTAGTGTGAAGATTATATAAAGTGGGTTATTTAAGCATTATTATATAATCATCCTAATAATTTTTACCTTACAATGTATCAAGTGCAATATGTACATATATGTATAGATGAAGATATATATTTGTATTTTTATATTTTATCACGCTTATAAATCATATCAAGGTAATATGCTATTATAAAGAACATTTATATTCATAATTTTTTATTAGTATTTTTTTTTTTTTATTTTATTCCATTTATTTATTTCTTCAATTTAATTAGTTTCATTGATTATTATTTATAAAATATTTCTAATAGACATTTTTTAAACATTAATTTTTTTCAACATACCAAATTTAAAAATTGTTTTTATTAAACGCAAAAATTAAAATTTTTTAATGAAAATTTTTCAAGTCTTAAGAAAATGTAAAATTATAAAAAAAATTTTAAATGATAAAATTTTAATAAGAAAAGTGAACTTTTTAATTTTGAATAATTTTATTTATTAAAAAAAAAAAAAATATTAGAAAAAAGTTCAAAGCTTTCAGAAATTTTTTTTTTTTAAAAGTAAAAATTTTAATTGGAGCAAAATTGTTTTATAAAAGTTATTTATTATAAAAAATAGTAAATAATTTATTTGTCTAATGGTTAAAAAAGAGCTTCAGCGTTATATATAAAAATATTACAAAAATTTTTTTTATCATTGCAACTTGCAAAAAATTATGGCATTAAAGTTAGCTGTCACTTGACCAATTTTCAATTTTATTTAACAATTAAATAAATTCTAATAAAGTATTTTTAAAAAATTGCATTTTTAATTTTTTAAAATTTCTACAGCCAATTTTTTTTTCTTATTTATTTAGCCATAATTTATTTGTTAAAAAAAGTTTTAAAATTTATCAAATATCTGCTAAATTAATTTTCATAAAAAATTTCGCAAAACAAAAATTTAAATTTGAAAAAAAAAAGTGCGGGAAAAGTTAATTCAGGCGCTTACGTGCGCGACGGCTGACCATGAAACTACAACTAAAAGGTTGGAATTAAAACACTGATCGCAATTGATCGTAACAGAAAAAGGTAAAAAAAACGTATCTGAGATATATGCAGTATAGTCTACCGTCAAACTTTCAGTAGTAACGACACATCACATAACTGTTTTTAAATTCCTTCTAGATAATTAATGTGAAGATTATTGATCTTCTTACAGTGATAAAAAAAAAGACTTATTAAAATAAATACTCAACTAAATCCCAACCTACGACTAACAGTAGCCAAGTGTAAAATAAGTTATAAAAATAAATATGTCAAGTGTTAACGGTGAAAGTAGCAAAGGACCAATACCACCCAGGTGGCTTCACTGCCCCCGAAAGTCAGTAAAATTAATCCACAATAAATTTCTAGCTTTCAAAACACCTCTATCGACTCACTTCGACGACCAGGTGTCAGAAGACTGCCGCTTTAACGTTGACATGCTGTTCGCCTCAGTGAAGAGCGAGCGCCTGAAAATAGGGTTATGGATCGACCTGACAAACACCAACCGCTTCTACGAAAAAGATGACGTCGAGGCTTACGGGTGTAAATATTTTAAATTACAATGTCGCGGACACGGCGAGACTCCGTCTCGAGATCAGTCGAAGACTTTCGTAGAAATCTGCAAAAACTTTATCGCCAAGCACCCGCTGGAGATAATCGGAGTACACTGCACCCACGGGTTCAACCGTACGGGTTTTTTGATAGTCAGCTACCTGGTGGAGACCGACCAGTTCAGCATCGACGCAGCTTTGAATATTTTCTCAGCAATGAGACCGCCAGGTATTTACAAAGACGACTATATAAAAGAACTCTTCCGTAGGTACGACGACGTGGATGACGCTCCAGCAGCCCCACCGAGACCCGCCTGGTGCCTCGAGTATGACGACGACGACGACGACGTAGATGACGACGTCTACCACCAGTCCGCCAGCGGGAACCAGTCTCACGGAAGACGGAAGCGCGAGTACGTCAACAAAAATCCAGTCTTCATGGCCGGGGTTCCTGGCGTGGTTGTAGTAAACGACCACGCAAAGTCTTCCGGGATTCAACGGCGAGTCCAGGAAATATGCGGGTGGAACTCCAGTGGGTTCCCGGGCTCACAGCCTGTCTCCATGGACAGAAACAACATAAATAAACTCAGTGAAAAGCCTTACCGCGTTTCTTGGAAGGCCGACGGCACGCGGTACATGCTGCTCATCCAGGGTGGCAATGAATTATTTTTTATTGACAGAGACAACAGTGTCTTCCAGGTTTCCGGACTGGCGTTCCCGCATGCTCATGACACGATGAGGAATTTAAAAGACACTCTGCTGGATGGTGAAATGGTGATCGACCGCGCTGACGGAAAAGAGTACCCCCGGTATTTAGCCTACGACATTATCATGTACGACGGCAAGGACGTCAGCAAGAAACCCTTCTTTCCTGACCGATATGCGTTGATTGAAAAAGAAGTCATGGGTGGAAGGTACCGTGCGCTTAGAGAAGGACGTCTTCGACGAGAACGCGAACCTTTTTCTGTGAGGTTGAAACAGTTTTATGATATCGCGCAAACCGGTAGTTTGCTCAGTGAAAAATTCGCCAAGCAGCTGGGACACGAGCCCGATGGATTGATATTCCAGCCTGCTAAAGATCCTTACGTTCCGGGAACCTGTGATAGCGTCCTCAAGTGGAAGCCTCTCAGCTTGAATTCTGTGGACTTTAAGCTCAAGATAGTGACTGATTCGGGGCTTGGTATTCTGCCTACCAAAAAGGGCATGCTCTTTGTCGGTGGACTCAATGAGCCCTTTGACAAAATTGAAAAGCCGAGTAAAGCGGTGAGAGAGCTTAATAATAAAATAATTGAATGCAAGTGGGAGAATAATAAGTGGGTATTTATGCGTGAGAGAACGGACAAGTCCTTCCCGAACTCCTACAAGACTGCGGTGTCTGTTTGTCAAAGTATCAGGGAGCCGATTACCAACAAGTATCTTCTGGACTTTATTGAGCAACACAGATTTCAAGATGACTCGGATTTGATGCCTCCACCTTCAAAACGCATGAGATGACGAAGTAGTTCTATGAATTTTAATGATTAAAAAAAAAAAAATAAGAATTCTCATTGAAGTTTAATTTAATTTTTTTTGGTTAAATTTTGATGAATGTTTTGTAAATATTATTATGTGTAATTAAATTTTTAATTGTCATTTTAATCAACAATGTTTTAATGCGTGAGCTTTGATTTTTTTAAATCTTTATATCCAACGCATCAATTATTGAAAATCAATTATGGAATTAAGTGAATAAAGACTTATATTAATAACATATTTTTTATTTTATTTTATTATTTATATATCCCTTGTTTATATTATTAATTAAGTCAGTAATTATAATTTTTAAAGATTTAAATTAACCTGACAAAAGTAAGTTTGTTAATTGTTTTATAAGTTATTGGTTTGACTGTAAATTAAACATTAAATTTATTTATTTATTCCAGATCGAACAGTTCAAATTTGGTGTACCAAGGACCTGGCGTCGAAGGAGCGTAAATCTCTTCGGGTTAATATTGATTATGATTTTGCGACAAATGTCAGAGTTTCTCCGGATGGCAAGGCGTTTATTATCCACAAATCGTTGAGTAATAATGTCGAGGTCTATGGACTCAGGAAAAAACCCAATGGATTTTTTGTGTCAGCGACTCTCGTCCTCGAGTTTCCAAAAGTAACCTTTGACTCATCTCTTGCTATTAAAATTTAAATTATTATCTTCTTTATAACAATAATTATTTATAACTTGTATATTAAAATTATTAAAGCGCCATCAAGAAGACATTGTGGGAATGGAGATAGCTTGTAATGGCCGTTTTATAATGACTTGTGGAAAAACAAACGACTTGATTATCTGGGACCTCAAGGGAGAAGTTTTAGCTACTGTTGATACATATTTGGGAACAACACATATGGCTAAAATTTCACCTTGTGGGCGTTTCATTGCTGCTTCTGGTAATTTTCTCATTTTAATACTTTGTAAACAAATGGAATTAAAATTTCTTGTTTTCATTTTATAGGCTTTACGCCAGATGTCAAAGTTTGGGAAGTTGGATTTACTAAATCAGGAGAATTTAAACAAGTTACCACAGCTTTTAATCTTGGTGGTCATTCATCAGGGGTTTATGATTTTGATTTTAATGCTGATTCTAGTTTTATGGCTTCTGTTTCTAAAGATGGTACCTACCGCCTTTATGATACCAAAGGTACTTAAAATATTAATTTAATTCCTTGTTTAAAATTTTATTTTTAGCATTTATTATTTTCGCAGAAAAATTTTATGAGTCATAAATAATTAATTTTAAATATTTTAAGATTCAAGTTAATATAAAGAAATTTCGATTTGAAGAAATTTCTATTAAAAAATGATAAAATTAATCTAATAAAAATACATATAAAATAAATTTTTTTAATTATCCATCTCTTTTTTTTTTTTTTTTTTTTGTAGTTGAATTTGAAAAGGGTGAAGATCCACATTTTGTACTATCAGGAACTTGGGAAAATGTAACACCAACTAAAATGGTTATGTCACCAAATGGTGAAGTCTTGGTAATTACCCATGGATCATCTTTGTCATTTTATTCAACAATAAGTGGGAAATTAGACACTACCATTGAAGATATAGGTAAATGTAAATTTTAAATACGTAATAAGAATTTTTAGCAAATCTAATTTTTTATTAAATTTTTTTAAAGGTTTTGTGTCATGCTTAACGTTCGATGCATCAGGAGAGTATCTTTTGGTAGCTGTCGATCGTTTTATTCGCATAATTCGCAACATTCCAGGCTACCGTGCCGCAATAGAATCAGCGAAACGCAAATTGGAGCAACGACAAACGTCAGCAACTAAAGAACGGCTCGAAAAAATAATCTCCAATTCGACCAAATTTCTGGAGTCAATGGGCGAGCGAGTTTTATGATAATTTCAACATTAATTACAATCGCAAATTAATCATCAAGATTTTATGAAACGATTGTTATTAAAAATTTATAATTATATTTCATATTTTCTTTTAACCAAACGCTTTGACGTTTGGTTAATTTTTTTACTGTCTGAATTTCAAAATATACTTTTACAATGTATAAATAATAATGCATACTTTAATGTTTGGTTCTATTATTATTTTAAGAGCTGGTAAAAAATTACTTATAAGTACGAAAGAACACGACTTTAATTTACACTTAAGTTATATGTACAAGTTTCAGGTATCAAATAATTTTAATTAAATAATAATAATAGAAAAAATAATTTAAAGTTGGATAGCAGCTAGATTGTAAGTATTTTTAAGTTTGTTTTGTTTGTCTTTGAGGATCAAAAGACGTCGACAAGCAACACTGGCAGTCGTTGCACGATTATCACCACGTAATATCTGATAATTGGCACGTAAACTCACTCTTCGTAAATTATTTGGAGCTACTGGTCTACCACCAGCAAACGCGAACCTAGAACAAATTTAATTGTTTTAATTATTGTCAATTAAATTGACAAGATTTTTAACTAATAAAATATTCGAAAATATTAAATTCCCTGGATATATAGACAATTTTAAATAACAATAATAATAATAATAATAATTATTATTATTATTATTACGGATTCAAAACTATTGAATTTGTTGAAATTAAAAGTATAAAAAAAAATATATCAAAGTAACATTTATAAAAATATATATCAGGATGAGTTAAATATTTTTTTATTTCGAACATTTTATTAGTTTCAAAAAAAAAAAAAAAAAATTAATGAATTTTTAAAGAAATAAAAAAAGACATTAAAGTTAGCAGTCGCTTGACAATTTTTTAATTTTTTTTTAATAAGTAAATTTGCTCCGAAAAATTATTTTTAAAAAATTGGATTTTTTTAATTTTCTAAATGTCAATTTTTTTTTCTCTTTTTCTTTAACATAATTTATTTGTTAAAAAAATTCTTAAAATTATAAAATATCTGCTAAATTAATGTTCATAAATAAAAGAGGTAAGTAATAATACCTTATTTCTCGTCGAGGTCCGCGTAAAACAGAATCAGGAAATATACTCAGTCTATCACTGGGAGCTTTGATACCAGGCCGTACTTTAGCGTACCTTATTTTACTCCTTACAATAATAGGAAGTATCCGTGGTAAATTTTCATTACTTTGTTCATTGTCTATTGGCTCCAAGTATGGCAACAATGAATCACCGTAATTTTCAGTTAATAATTTAAGGTTTGGTAGTTTTTGATTTGACCTCACCAGCGCGTTAACTGAAAGCTGTCAATAAAAGTTAAATTTTTGTTCAATTAAATTACTTGAAAATATAAAAATTTAATAAATTGATTGATACTCACTGCAATTTGATGCCACAGTGAAGAACCTTCAGGTGCTTCTTTTAAAAGATTATCCAGCGATAGCGAAGACGTGGACTGGAAAAATACCAGGGGCTGAATCCCCACTAACAATTCCATTGCAGTTATTCTCTTTTTATTAATCGTATTACTACTGGGTTTATGGTCTTGTGATAGAACATTTTCTAACATCGGAAGAAATTTGTCTGCAGTTGCAGGCCACCTGAGCATCAACTTCAATGCACATGTCTTGAATAATGTTTCTACATTTGAATCTATAAAACTTTGACCTAATAACAATTCTAATAATAACTCTGTTAATTTTTCCACCTGAAATTTCAATTAAGAATTATAAAAAAAAAAGAAAATAATTTATAATTGTCGGAGTTATATTTTTGAAAGTAGCTTATAATTACCGAATTTATGTGATAAGGGTACACAGTAGCAGTATTTGAAGTAATTGCTATAATAAGTTGACAAGCACGTGTTGTAACACGTGTGTACTGAGCATTATTTGATATTACAGTTGATCTAGCAATTGAAACTAAAATATTTAATATTCCTTCTCCATCAAAGTGAGTATTGTTCATACAGTCGTTCAGTAAAACCTGTTCAATTAAATTACATTCATTAATTCAATAATAATAAAGATATTTTTAAGATAATAGATTAAAAGGAAATTGTGAAATTGCCTTTTAATTTAAAAAGTTTTATGATACTGAAATCAGTAGTCATCTGACAATTTTGTTTTTTTTTTATTTTAAATCCATTATGAAAATTAAGTTAGCCGACACTCAAAAATTTTTGATTTTTTTTATTAATTAAAAATTAGAACTAAAAAACTATTTTTTAAAAATTCCACGGATAATTTTTAAAATTTTCTACATGTGAAAATTTTTTAAAAATTATTTTTCAATAAGATAAATTATAAAAATTTTCATCAATCCATTATAAAGAAAAAAAAAACATTTCTAAAAAATTTGCACTTGTTTTTTTTTTTTTTTTTTTTTAAATCTAGAGGAATTTTTTTATTAAAATTTTTTCATGAAAATTTAATTATAGAAATGCAAAAAATAGACAGATCTCAATTTCAGTGTCATAAATTTTTTAATTTGTCTATACTTTTAAAATAAATTCCACAATTTTTTGTATATTAACTACACTGATAAAAAATTTAACTTGGTTCAAGATTTTGGCTGTTGAGTCAAGTTTATTTTTTTATCAGTGTATGGACACATGAATTTTTAATTATTTCAATAAATTATACCTGAAATGTCTTCTTAGATCCATTAAATAAAATTTTAAGAGCTCGTTTAGCGTAAGCGTGACGAAACTCTGTAAGCTTAGCGTCAATAAATTCATCTTCATCACAGTGCGGTTCATTAATTTGCGTTAAATTAAGCGGTTCCAACGCGACACTGGCAACATCCACCAACTCTTCGTGAGGAACAAATACTTGTGCTTCTGAATGGTAGGATGGCATTGGATCCGAAGACCCGTAAACTGGATCAGCATCACAAAGTGTTGTAATGACAGCGTTGACATCCGTCGAGAGTAGCTTTTTCCTGCAGCTGTGGCTCAATCTTGTCACGCATTTCTGTAAATAATTTCATGAACGATTAATTATTATACTTTAATTTTCAGACACAAAATAAGCGTAGTTAAAATAATTAAAAGATACTAACGTGCAAAATTTCTCGTAAGCGGTAGGAAGCATCTTCGGCGAGTTTTTTTAGCAGCGAATCGGGCAGTGGGTGCATGCCCAATTCCTCGCCGATAGCAGACACCCATTCGTTACTTAAAACTGCGTATCTACGCTGATTGTTACCGTTAGTTATGTTTGTACTGTTATTGCTTGTACTTGTTGTGCTCGTGCTATTATTATTTTTGGATCCATAGTGATGATTTATTGACGATGAAAGGTTAGTTTGCTGGACCAATTCTTTCATGATTATTAATTATAAGTTTAATTATTTCAGTTAAACATAACATTTATATTTGAACACTTGGAGGTTTATTTATATTTATATTTATATTTAACTAGTGATATTTTATTATTATTTCATTGTTAATACTAATTTATTTATTATTATTTAAACACTTAGATGTTTTGGATTAGAAATGTCACATACTCTAAAATCTAAAAGTGAATTTTATTTACTTAAAAATTACCGACTGTCGTTATAAATATTTTCCCTCCACTGACATTTATCAGCTTAAGATGTACCAAAAGCTTAAGATGGTAAGATGGGGCCATGTGTGTAAAAAAAATAAATATCACTGATATCCAAAAGTTGACTGTTTATAAATAATATATAATTTATTTGAGTATGCTAGGAGAAAAATGTCACGAGTAATTAAGTTTTTTACTACAATTAGAAATAATTGGAAAAAATCATTAGTTGGTGCAGCTGCTCTTTCTTATGGAGCTTCTTATGCCAATGATACTTATCAGTAAGTGTTTCTTTGAGGTTACTTTGAAATTATTGAATTTTTTTTACTGCTTATATTTTTCAACAATTTTATTTTAAAATTAATTTACCAGATATTTTATCATTTTTGTAACAAATTAATTAGGGCAAAAATGAGAAAAAAATTGATATGTAGAAATTAAAAATGCAATTTTTTAAAAACAATTTTTTTGGAACAAATTTGTTTGTCAATTAAAAACTAAAAAAATAGTCTAACGACTGCTAACTTTAATATTATAAATTATGATAATAAAATTGAGAGACATCTAATGATTTATTAGATTAAATTTGGCAGAATAAACAAATTTGTTCCAAAACATTATTTTTAAAAAATTGCATTTTTTCCGATAATTTATTTGTTACAAAAATTATAAAATATCTGTTAAATTAATTTTGATGATGATTTTAATTTAAGAATTTTTTTAACATATAAATTGGAGCAAAAAAATTTATTTCAATAATTCCATCTTTAGAAGCTCTAAAAAATTATAAATGCAATTTAAAAAAAAAATTTCTAAACCTGTTTTCTTTTTCAAGAAAAATAAAAAAAATTGTCAAGTGTCTGCTAATTTTAGACTCATTATAAATTTTATTTTTTGTTTAATTCACAGAACTCATTTATTGATGAGAGAGTACTGTGAGCAAGCAGTTAAATATGGAGATCAAATTCTTCCACTGTCACAAAAACCCCGGCACATTACTGTGATTTTAAATCCAGTCGCTAAGAAAAGGTGACATAATTTATTTTTTTTTTTTTTTTTTTTTTTATCTTACTGTTAATCAATCTACACTTGCAAGTCATTAATATTTAATTTAATTGTACAGGAAAGCAAAAAAGCTTTTCGAAAAATACTGTGAACCATTGCTACACTTGGCCGGTATAGCGGTCACGATAATCCAAACTGAGCAAGAAAACCAGGCAAGGTCTTTAATAGAGAATTTAAATTTTCAAACAGATGCTATTCTAGTGGCTGGCGGTGATGGTACTCTGCTGGATGTCGTTACAGGACTCATGAGAAAATGTAACGGGAGTATATTTTGCGCAAAACAAACCCCTGTTGGTATTTTACCTCTCGGTGAGGTCAACAGGTTATGCGATTCTATTTTCAGTCGTCAATATGACAATTTACCTCATATACATGAGATGATTGACGCTACCATGGCAGTAGTTCATGGGAACACAAAGTCTGTAGATATCATGAAAGTTGAACCAATTGAGGTATTTTTATTTATCATTACTTAACTATTCTCATTGATCATAATTATTTATTTTGTAAATTTATTTCTATTAGCAAAATGAAGAAGAATTAATAAAACCAATCTACGCTCTTGGTATTATTGAGCTCGGCGCTTGGAGAGATGCTTACTCTAGAAAAGAAAAATATTGGTATTGGGGAGGGTTAAGAAGGTATTCTTATTAATATTATTTATATAATTAAGAGAATAAGGAAAATTTTGTCTCCTTTTTGATTGGTTATTTGATAAAAAGAGTTTTTTTAAATTAAATTTAATATCATTGGATAGGTTTTGACTTGAATTTGTGCCTTTTTAATGTTTCATATGTTTGCAAATTGGTTTTGATATTTTTTTAGCGATAATCTTTTACGATTTAAATAATTGAGTAAGGAAAATTTTGTTCCATTAAATTATTTTTAATTGACCCTGCTATAGCAATATTATTTTTAAAATTTATTTAAAAAGTACCCAAACTATGTATAATGTGATTATAAATATCAAAAAATCATTTTCTTATCCATAATCCGTAAATCTCGGTAAGAAACTTTATGAAAATTAACAGTGAGATTATATTTTGATAAATTATCAATTTTCTAATAATAAATTAATTAATTACTGGTATTATTTGTATTTACTCCAATTTAAATATTTTTGCAGGTATGTTACATATATATTCAATGGATTTAAGAAAGACGTCATGTGGAATTGCAATGCAACTATAAGATATTCAGATCCCTGCATAGGATGTTCTAAGTGCTATCAGCCAGATAAATCACCCGTAAAATCGGATGTCAGATGGTGGCATGTATTCATCCCAAAAAAAGTAACTTATGCGCAAAGCAATGAAATTGATTATAGCAAAGTAAAAAATGATAATTGCGATACGTTCAAAGAGACGTCAATCACAACCACTGAGCTGAGTTTGATGACACGCAACACAGATAAATTAAAGCAAGGTGTGCCGGCGGTTAAGTTACAAATTGGTAAGTTAGGTTTTATAATCATTTATTTATTAACATATTTACAAATAGAAATTATAAAAATAAAGTTAATGTAACAATAAAAATAATTATCGGAAGGTCCTGAACATATAAGCTACTTTGACTTTGTGGCTGAAGGATGGAACCGTATTAAAGGTTTAAATAATGTTGTACAACAGACATTAGAAATTAAAGACTTCGAGTTTCTCCCTGAGTCTACCGAAGACTCGGTAAGTTTTCTTATTGCTTATTACAATTTTTTTTTTTTTATTAACGGTTTAATATTTGATTTTTTTTTTCTTTAGGAAAAAGAACAATATTTTTCGATGGATAACGAAGAATTTGAATTAAAACCGATGAAAATAACATTGATACCCAACGCTGTAAAAATATTCTGTCCGTAATACATGTTCATTGCAATTAATAGTGTATATTTTGATATTTATTTTATAAATAGATTTTATTGAGCTATCTTTAAATTTAAATATACTTTGAATATGTTAAAGTATCACTGCCGTTGCTATTAAATTTTCTTATTTAATCATAATTGCACAATTTGAATAATACTATTTGATGAATTTTTCAATTTTAAAACTGCTAACGACCGATTGTTTCAATTTCGAGGCACTTTATATCACTAAACTTTAAAACTCCAATTAACAGTATTAGTATGCATTACAATATACAACTAAAAATATTTTTTCCTCATAATTACAGGATTTATCAACAGTTGAATACTCAACATTTAAAACTTACAATTTATCCTAAAAAATATGATTAATCATTTCTCTTTTACTTAAAACTATTTGTAAAATTATAATATATATTCATGAATTAATCGTCGAAGAATTGACATCTGTTTTCGGAATCAGCCGTTGATTGTCGTCTGAATTTCTGAACTTTTTGAGATAAACTCCAATTCCAACGAACATTAATAAAATTCCAATGCATGCGATTCCGTAAAGAGTTACGTGACCCAACAATGGAAGAGTTGCAATAAACTTTACTTGCCTCGCATAATTAGCTGTCAAATTAGCCTCTTGTTTAAACCACAAAATGGGCATATAAATCCGTGGTATATTTGTGTATAATCTGTAATTAAAACGAATAATTAATAATTATTAGTAAAAAAATTTATAAAATAAAAGATAAATCATGACACTGAAGTTTACAGACATTAAATAATTTTTTTTTATAATTTTATAGCAATCAAATTTTTATGAAAAAATTCCACATGTAAAAATTAAAAAAAAAAAAAAATATAAGTGAAAATTTTTATAAGAATTTTTTTAATTGTAATTGATTTGTTATAAATATTAAAAAAAATTGACAGTTGTCAGCTAATTTCAGTATCATGATAAACTGATAAATTTTTACTGGCAATCAGACTTACGATAAATGTTTTATGGGTTGAATCAACAAATTAAGTTGTAAACGCGCGCTAACTCTTAACGGAACTCCAAAGTTCTAAACAAAGTATTTAATTAGTTGCGTAATAGGATACTTGAGATAAAAAATAAAAATACGTACTGGTTCAACAAGCATAGAGAATTCATGTTTGTTTTTTGAGGGCGATAAACCGTCGACGGCGTCCAGATAACTCGGATCAGCAAGATAAAAATGCGGTAAACTGATAAACGCTGGAGCGCCAAATTTACACGATGATACATTAAGCGTTCCGCTGGGTTGACACTCGACACCCTGACAGTAGCAAGCGCGTGAGGGTACTTTGGTACCGTTGTCCAGCATCGTCGATGTAGATATATATTTTTTTCCTATCAAGCCTTCATGGTCTTCTTCCTTGCTAAAATTTAGATTAAGAAGTGTACAGACGTCAGGCGCGAATATATTAACTGAAGAATTTTCAGTAACTGTAGGCCATGCATCGCCTAAGGTGCCATTGATAAACCCGCATTCTTTTTCAAAATTTTTTGATTTATCACTGTAATTCCATTCCTGGAGTATTCCTGTACCCCATAGTCCTGTAGCGCCTGTCAGCATGTTGAAAGTTCCGTCGTAAGTCTCGGAATTATTTCGCTGTGAATGGAAATAAAAATTATTCATTTATTATTTGAACTTGGAATTATTATGATGAATTTTTATACTGAAATGATAATAATAATAATAATAATAATAGTAGTATTTTTATTGCTTTCCTGTACATATACATTGCAATAGAGGTTACATATATAAAAAGTGTACATAAAGATACTTATTCATATAAAGTTACAAATTAATAATAATTTACGTATTTTCAAACGCGTTGATTAAACTTGAATCAAACAAATTGGGTCTGTCCTTGATAATCTGGAAAAATACTTGGAACTGGATTGTAAAAATTCTAAGTATGGACGAGAATAGATTGCCATTTTTGTGCTTTAAAAAACAATTAACTTTATACAAGAATAATTATAAGGCTCCGGAATATAATTGGTATGCTCAAATTGCTACATTTATTAACACAGTAGACCCTAACTTCATGTTCGTTATCGACACCCTAGATAGTAATGTATGAGAGAGGGCTGGTATAAAACTACTCGAAAAATATAGAAAACTCCTAGAGCAAAATATTCTTACTCAAACTCGTAATATCGCATATCTTGAATCGAAAGTAATTTGTTCTCAAAACTCAAACAACTATCTTAAGAGTAATGTAGGTTTACAAGTAAAAAAAGTCTTTGCTCAACTGCGAACGGCAAATAGCTTTGGCTTTAAAATATTTATAAACGGTATAGTGAATGAATTCTTCCCTTTTTCTAACTGCCCTATTTGTGATTCTGGAGAAAAAGACACACTGTCTCACTTTTTGCTTAGCTGCCCGACCCTAAATAATTTAAGAAAAAATTTTCTAAGTAGCATTGGCATCGTACAATCTAACGACATCCTAAATGATATATTAAATTTTCACAAACCGAACCAATTGAAAACTCTGTATCTGTTTATTGAAAAATTCTGTTTTTTAAGAGGATCCAAGACAAATAATAATAATAATAATAATAAATTACAAAAAATTAAAATTAACTTACGTTGTAAAACCAACCAAATTTAGAGAACGGTAAATCCTTAGTGACATTAAATTTATGAACTAATTCCAATAACTCATCATCGTACCCATCGAATAATAATTCACCAACTGTCTTGGTAACTGTTCGTGATTCGTTTAATATTTTTAAAACACTATTGACTGCAAGTAGGGCAAAAAGTCCTTTAAACCGTAATTTATATCCTATGGACTAAAAAAATATTTAATTTTATATTGCATTAATGATTAATTCTTAAAGTAATTTATAAAACTTACGGCAGCTACTGGATTTATATTTGTTATTTTATCACTTAAAGACCCATTCGATTTAGACGCTATGAAATGCCAGACACGTTTCTGTTGGAATGTTATCGTTTCATTATCATTCCAAACTTGGTTAACTTTATAATCAACTTCGCTGTAAATTTAATTTAATTTAATTAGTAATCTACGTTTTGCGGAAATCAAATGATAATTAAAGTATCAGATGTCTGATAATTTTTGTTTTTTTTTAATTACGTATACCAGGAAATAAATTTAAAATTACCTGAAGACATAAGGACCTAGTTCATTGAAGTGAGGTTTTACTTTTGAAGATAGAGAAAAATCTTGGGGATTTGTCCAATTAAACAGATAAACTTCTAAGTACATAGGTATAGGTGTTTCTTCCCACATGGCATATTTTTGTGATGTTGGTGTCAAAGGTAGTTCCTGTTTAAATAAAAAACATTTATTTTTAATAACTACAAATAATTTTTCATCATTAAAGTTAATCAACGCTTACTTTTACAATTATTTTATTAATAATAGAATCCCATAAAACACCAACAGTTATTCCCGCGCAAATGGAAACCAAAGCAACTCCAAAAATAATTCCGAGTTTCATTTTTGACGGGGCCATTTTTTCCGGCTGTGATCTGTGAAAAAAAAAAAACCAAACGTAATTAATTAAATATGTATAAATATGAAATTGAATTTTTCAGAAATTTTTTTATTTATTCAACTGAATTTTTACTTTGTTTAGAAAGTAAACACAACATTGAAATTAGCAGATACTTAACAATTTTTTAATTTTTTTTTTAATAATAAACTAAGTCTAGAAAATTATTTTCTAAAAAATTGCACTTATAATTTTTTAAAGCTTCTAAGCTTGAAATTTTTTAAATAAATTTTTCTTTTAGTTAAAAAATTTCTAAAAACTGTCTGATGTCTCTCAATCTTATTATCATAGCAAACACCGTCATTATTTTCTGTCAAAAATTAGAACGACAAAAAAATTTTTTTCAATCAGTCAAAAATAAAAAAAAAACAATAAAATATTTATTAATAGTAAATTAATTTCTTACAATAAAGGTGACGACTCATTTTCTAACCTCACTGAAATAGATTCAGTGGACATATTTACAATAAACAAAATTTAAACAATATAAATATTCAAAAAAATTTCCATAACTGTAAACTCAAAAATTTATAAAAAATTATCAACACTTTGTTCATTAATATTAATCATCTATTTAGCTCCATTTTTAAGATAAGACTCCAACCGTCTACGCACACACTTATATAGTGTCAGAATATAGGCATAGTATATGTATGAATACGAACATTGCACGTAATTACACTTCAATTTTTATTCTTTTTATCACTCTAAATTATCAACCAATAAAAACACTTCTTTTTTCAGAATGTATTCAAGGAATTATCTCCAAATTACATTATATATATTATTCATCTAAAATTTAATAGATAAATATGCTGAGTATTGAAGATGTAAATGCCCTAGTGCAAATTTGACCTAATTAGCAAGAATATTGATAGTAAATATTTGTAGTAATTTAATGACATGACCTTGACTTTTTTTTTATACGAATTATACATACACACATAAATATTTTCACCGACATTGGTAAGTTCATTAGTAATTGAAAACTCCATTGTTACTTTGTATTTTAATATGCAATATTTTCTTTTACGAATCAAAGCACCCATTGAAGTTATACAAATAAAAAAAAATATATATAATAATTTAAATAAAAATATATCATTATTATTATTATATGATTATTTTGTTATTTCTATTATTATACAAAAGTCAAGAAGGTCAAGAGTATTTTTAATGAATTTTAGAAATAAATCTACTTTATTTATTTCATATTTTATTAGCAATTTAAAATGTTTTTATATAAAAAAAAATTATTATGTACTCTTAACAAGTCTTACCGGTTTTGTACTGTCTCCTGATTGCTTTTATTTTCATTATTATTGTCACTCATTTTATTTGATAAAGTAAGTAATTTTTCACTGGCTTCTGTTTCAGTTTCGTACTCACTATTTAAATAAATTTCATTTACAGACACTTAATGTTAACAATATTGTGAAGTTATGAATAAAAGTGGACAATGGATAAATATTTAAACTCAGAAGTTAATGGAATAATTAACATATTAGTAACCACTGGCATATGAAATGAGAATCTCAAATGACTGTAGAGAAAGAATTGTACGAGTAATTTTTACCAATAATCACATCTATCTGTTTTTAATATTCAATTTAAGATAACATTTTACTGATTATAAAATCTCACGAATGATTAAATATAAATACTTTAAAATGCTTGAGGTATGATTACACCTGCAAACGATTGATAAAATTCATGAACAAATATAACAGTTTTGAATCTCTTACTTAATTTTTATTGGTTATCGAAAATTCTGAGAAAAATTATTAATCACAAAAAAAAAACCATATCTTTTTAATCAATTTAAAAATATAAATTTAATCGATTAAGTTGAAGCTGGTGAATATTTGCATTGATTTAGAAGTAAAATTAGATTGATGCAAGTTGACTTTCATCTGAGTTGTTAGTATGCAATGTGACAAATTTATTTCAAGTAGAACCAAGAGAAGAGAATAAATGTTTTAAAATTGCAATGAATCTCACTGCATCGGTACAAAATCCATTGATTCATCTTGGTATTCAGTCTTCATATCTACGTTGTTCCGATTCAATTATATTTACAATTAAAAGATAAAAAAATAACGAGGAAATTCCATAAATTAATTGAACTCTGGTCGTTGATCAATAGAAGATTATAAATGTAATTTTATCTTATTTTTCATTCTATATTTATAAGATTTATATTGTTTTAATATCCATATTTTTACTTTGCAGACATGTTCGGTATCTAGGTAAAGAAATAACTGATGGATTAGATGATGCTGCGGTATGATTTTTGTTATTTTCTAATATATACAATGGTGATAATATTAAGGACAGATTTAAATATCAGTTAGCAATCGCCTGGGCAAAGTTCATGATGACAAATCATAAACCTTTTTAATTATTCTATATCATCATAGATATAAAAATCAAAACATTTAATAACAAATAATCATTTTTCTGTTTATTATTTTTAATCAAATAATTACTCACTAGTTTTAATGACTCAGAATATCCGTGGGTGTCTTTTTTTTTTTCTAATCGAATCGTTTCACCAGTTATTTAGTTGAGCGTTGGATTATCTTGCATTATTTATTACTATTTTATATAAACCTTATAATACATAAATAAAAAATGAATGACCCAGACATTTTACATGTCAAAAGATCTGGAGTTAATAACAAAATGATAAAGTTTTCTATTTAATTAATTAAACTATGCACTTAAAATATTAATTATTTTTATTCAATTTCCACTCTTACAAAAGATTGCATTATTACAAAAAATTGAATAAATAATGATAAAAAATTATTATGGTCAGTTATTTTTAAGTGAGAGTTTCTTGTTATTTATTTAAAGAGAAAGTGTTGAAGAAATTTATAGCTAATGATTTTATACTTTCCAATCATGTTATAGATCTATCATACGTAATAATTGAATAAAATTTTGCAGTAAAATATATTTTTATAATACTAAAGTTAGCTGACAAGTGTCAATTTTTTAAATTATTTTTTATTTGATTTTTTTCGTAATAATTTAATTGCTGTAAAATTATAAAAAAATTTCAGTCTGTCAACTTCAATGCCATAAATTTTTTTGTAAAATTAATTAATTTAAAATACTTGCCACTTTTTGATTGGAGTTGATATTATTTTTTCTTGCGAATTGTTCTTACATTGATAGCCGTATATTTATCTGTTAATGACGTTCAATGCACTTATCGTTGTACCATGATTATAATTAATGTGGTGATAAATAAACTTGCAAGGAAAACCAGTACTGTTCGAACCCCAGTCGAATATTTAACATGCAAAGTGTGTGTTTGACATGCCGTCGCGGTTGTAGCGAGCGGCTAAGACTGACGAGTAAATATTTAGCTTCACGTGTACTGTACTGGGAGTTCAAATGAGTTTAAGCGTAGTTCTGTAGTGGGGATTTAGCAGTTCATGGATCATATTGTTAAAAAAATCAATTTCTCGCATTTACTAATTCTTTCTTAAATTATATATGCGAATCTCTAATTTTTTTTTTTTAAGTTGATATTACTGAGAGTTATTTTTCGATTCAAGCACCAGACACTTGATGTATTCAGCTCAAAATTTTTAAGGTCAGCTGATTATAATTAGATTTTATAAAGCAGATATTGAATCTTTACTTTTTTTGTTAAAAAAAATCACATGAATATTACATAAAAATAATATCAATTCACTGGAAAAAATATTTAATACAATTACGTCAACAAATAAAAAAAGAAGTTATCTCTGCGTGTCTATCTTTTAGATCTTTTTCGTGGATATTGATCCAGAAGTACAAAAATTTAGTTATTATAGAGATAAATTTTTAATTTCAGGTCAAAACACTTTCGATAACCTATTAATAATATTAATGATTAAATAAAAAAAATAATGTCATTAAAAATATAGAATCAAAGAAAAGTATTATCTGAATATATTTTTATCAAAGCGATTTTTTCCTAATGATGTTGCCTCATTAAGGGATTCATGAATAAAGAAAGAGTACCGTTGAGTTGGATGAAAATATACTTGAGATACTTTTATTTAAAAAAAGTTTCAATAGATTTTTAAATACTGTGCATTAATATTTATATCAAAGTGTTGATCGTTTAAATAAAATAAATTATCCTTAGGAAGTATTTGGTAATGGGACTAGATGACTTTTACCTGAGTACCAGATAATGGACGGACTGATTTTTTTTCGTTACAAAACTAATTTAATAGTTTATTTTATTATCAATGTATTGGTCGTATTGTTCATGTCCTCTTGCATCTGGACTCTGTCACGAATTTTCGTGCACATAAGTGTGTACTCTAAAACACCGACCCTTACGTTCATTTCTGATATCTCGGATTTCAATTTTGTAATTGTTTTCTTTATGTTTATCAGAGGCGCTGTAGATAATTTTTATAATTAATGATGTGATTAAAAAAGATTCTAGAGCTTTTAAATACTTACTTCCGTCAGTCATGCTGGAGCCTCGTTCATCCATTTCTTTTTTCACTTGCTCTAGTTCATCTGACAATTTATTTAATGTACGCGTACGCTCCGTCACTCCGCCGCTCACATCGCGATAGTGTTCTTTTATTTTTAATAGCTCTTCCTGTGAAAAAGTTTATCATAAATATAACATCTCATGAATGCTCTAAACTTACAACATAGACAAAGATAATGTCACAATTTGAAATACTATTTTTTCCACATGAAAAATTTGCAACACAAAAACTATTTTTTTTTTTTTTAATTTTTTTTAACATAATTATGAAGAGCTATTAAATATATTTAAAATAGAGCTCAAAAATTATATTATAAATAATGTTGATGATTTTAAAAATATAAATAGTTATTAAGAATGTATACATATATTTATTTATTTTAAAGAAATTATTTATGTTTATATGTTGTAAATAGCAAAGCTAACAAACAATAAATATTATTATTATTATTATTATTATTATTAAAATTCATCTAAAACTGGTGACACAGGATTGAAATAAAATAAACATTACCTGTAGACTCCTGAATTCAACTAAGGTAGGCTCCAATTGTTTATTGAGATACATTTCCCGCATCTTTATCTTATCGAGCGTATTTGCAATGTCCGTATGCAATTTATCTAATTGATTTTTAGTGCCATTTAAACCCGTCGAAATATTGGCTCTCAGCTGCTTCATTTGTTCTAGGTGTGATCTCCAATCTCTGGAATCTACATAATTATTTATAAAATCAAATTTAAGTCAGGTATTAAAAATAACTCATCAGGTATTTCATAATCTATTTTTAAAAACAAGTACCTGTTTTTATAGTTACTTTAAGCTGAGGAAGAACACGCTCCAGTTCAAGTTTCCATTCTTCAGCGTCTGTTTGAGACTCCAAAATATTATCAGGCTTCTGGACGTCTTCCTGTAGAAAAAAAAAACTTTATCTCCGCTATAAAAAAATTTTGAAAATAAATTACCATTGTTTTTCCGTAGAGTTTGGTGATGTCGTCAATGTGTAGAATGTCATCGTCTTCGTCGTCGTAATCGGCCATCATTTCTTCCTCAACTTTTTCTAAAATCAATTCGGCATCATCATCCTCTATTTCTGGCTCTTGATCCGGCTCATCTGCTGGAATTTCAACTCTAAAAATAGCCCCGAAAATATATTATATTTACATTCAAATAACCAAATATTTAGTTATCATTTCAGCGCATACTTTTTCCATTTGAACTTGGAAGCTTTTATCGCTTGATCGGCCAAGCTGTCTAGGACGTAAATAGCATGCTCTCCAACACCCTGTTTCAATTTATTCGGTGGAAATTCAACAGATACTCCGAATTCTTTTACATGGTCCATTATCAGTGCAATTATCGCATTAGGATCATCTGATTCTTGGGGTTGTTCAAAGTTTTTGCCAGCTTTTCTCACTAGCCAGGCTGCTAATGAAGTAAATAAATAAAACTGCTCACCGGGATTCGTTGGTATGACAAAGTAATGCCTAAAAAATATTTTAATTATTGAGTAATCATGAAAAATTTAAGCGATTAAATAAATTTAATAAATATACCTGTTAATTGGCTTCATTTTTAATTCTTGTACAAAGTCAGTGTCGTAATTTAATAGTTTTAATTTTTCCAACAAATCTTCCATGCGTACATTACTGACATAAGATGCTGATGGTGAATCCTCAACATCTATAACAATTTTAGCTGATTCACGAAACATTTTTCTCTAATTTTTCATCAGTAAATAATTATTCCGATCAATATTTAGCATGTCACATTAGAATTCATTCTAAATCATAACAAATTCATGACATTTACACATTACACACCGTACACTTATAAATCATCATTTGATCACAACAAACCTAGAAATAATATTTATTTAAATGTTGGTATTTTTTAATAGCTATTTTAATATCAATTTATCTGTCGATAAAGACAATTGTCTGGTTATTCAGGTTATTCACATTTGTTGCACTGACGTTATTTATAAACGTATAAATAAAGTGATGTGATAAGTAAACAAATAACTTTGTAAATTAATAAATTAGTTTAATAAAATAGGAGATTAAATATATTACAGAAATTAATGTATTTATAATTAAATTACTAAAAATTTATTAATAATCAACTAACTATGACAATCTTATCCGAGTCACTTTTATTCGCATTTGCACTTCTTGATACAGGAGCTGTGCTATTTCTGCTGGTGTATTTTGTATCCTTTTTTACATTATTATTTTCAATAGCAACTGTAAATTATTTATAACTCGAAATTATTTTTTTTTATTGTTGAATTTTTTTAGGTTAGTGTATTAAAAGACTCTAGTAACTTTTAGGGAATTTTTCATTAATTTTATAAGAGCGCGAAATTTGAATAAAAAAATTTAATGAAAATTAATTTAGCATATATTTTAATAATTTTAAAAATTTTATAACAATTAAATTATGGCAAAAAAAAATAAGAAAAAAAAATTGACATGTAGAAATTTAAAAAAATAAAAAATGCAATTTTTTATAATTAAAATAAAAAATTTATTAAGTTTCTGCTAACTTAAATGTCATAAAAATTTTTCCTTAATTTATAATCTAGGTAATTGCATTATCGGATCTTGAGTGTGATTATTTAAATGCACAGCAATGTTGTGCAAGACTAAATAAGGTATTAATTACATTTATTTATAATTCATTAGTAAATTTTTTATTATTTATTTAAAAAAAAAAAAAATTAATTAAGTTCAATAATTAAAATTATATTGATAAAATTTGTGAATAAATTAAATAAGGATTTTATTTAGAATGTAACTTGAAATATTAATAAATCTTTTATTTTTCAGTGGATAATACCAAAGATAGCGGCACATAGTTTTTTGGATTTTTTAATGTTAATACATGGTCAATGGTTGCTTGCACTAGTTAATCTTCCAATGACTATGTGGCTGTGTTATGAATATTTTACAATACCACGAGGTAACCTTGGTGTCTTTGATCCTACTGAAATACACAACAGAGGTCAACTAAAGAAACATAATCGAGATTGTATGATTTACCTTGGATACAATCTTATATTCTTTTTCATCTATCTTTACTGGTAAATTGCTTCTATATTTAACTTACATTATTATCACATGCAATTAATAACTCTCCGTCCTGGCTATTAACACCACATGAATATTTTTTTGATTGCAGTTTGATAATAGCACTGCTGCGCGGAGACCCGATAAACAGAAAAGACGACGATGTCATTGAGTTTTAAGTGAACCATTAAAAATTCACCAAGTGTTTGAATACTTTTTATACGCTTTCTAAACATCAATTTATTGTCAACATTACTTCAGTGATATTTCTATTTTATGGTTCTCAGTATGTATTTCATATTCACGAAAAAATTTCGTAATTTACCTATACAAAAAAATCCATATTTCTTTATTTATACTAAATATTCAACGTCATTGTATGATTATTAAATGTGAAAGTAAAAACTGACGTAAAATAATAATAACAATATTTATATTTTCTAGTCGTATTGATTAAACAATCATTGTCACATAAATATAATATTTCATTTTTAAAATATTTGTCACCACAAAAATATTAGTTGGTTTTGTCCTGAGTAATTTTTCAATTTAAATTTAAACTTTTATTGAAAAAAAAAAAAAAAATAATAATAATAATAATAATAAACAAAACATTAAAAAAAAAAGAAATATTTTTTCATAAGAAGTTTACTTACGATTTATAGGTTTAATTTTATGAAAATTAATTTAGAATATATTTAATAATTTTAAGAATTTTATAACAAGAAAACTATGGCAAAAAAAATTAACATGTAGAAATTTCAAAAAATAAAAAATGCAATTTTTTAAAAATAATTTTTTGCGACAATTTTTTTTTGTTAAATAAAATTAAAAAATTGTCAATTGACTGCTAACTTAAATGAAACTTAATTTAGCAGATAATTTATAATTGTTTTAATAAATAAATTATGTCAAAGAAAATGAGAAAAAAAATTGACATTTAGAAAATAAAAAAACTAAAAAATCCAATTTTTTGGAGCAATTTTATTTTTTAAAAAATTTTCAAGTGACTGCTAACTTTAACGTCATCTAACTTGAATGTCATTTAATTTTCCAAAGATCTTTAGATCGATGATAAGTTAATAAATGAATCATTAATCAGTGCCGACAGAAACTTCATTTAATAACTTTCTAGTTAAATAAGGCCTCATTACCATATCAATTGAATATTTCATTTTTTTCAACGTCTGCTGAAATGTTAATATAAATCCAGTCTCAGCCCGAAGGTCAACTACTTTAAAAACAAAAAAAAAAAAAAAACTAAAAACTTAACCAGTTACGATTAAACTAAATGTTACAGTAAAATTAGATTTCTGGACGAAATCGATTGGTAAGTTAAACTCGATGATAAGCAAAATTTTTTTCAAGGCTAATTTAAAAGCACGCGCGTTTGCCGGATTTTAAATAATCAATTTTTAAAAAGCGACCGCGCGCGCTTAGAGAGTTTAGTTACAGGAGCGCCACTCTGTCTGTCAACAGCTGCGCAGGAGTAACTGCGCAAGACAAAAAATGGCGCGCACTGTCATGCGCCCTCTGGCGCGAATATTTAAGGCACCCACACAGAGACACAGAACTATCAATTATATTTAGTTTATTCCGCTGTACTCGGTGATATGTGAGCAGGCTCCGTGAAATACCATCCAAATTATATACATAATAACATATATACATATGAAATGACTAACTCAAGCACTGACAGTAGTGACTGTTGACATAGTACGTGCGTGCTTGTATCGCCTCTGGGTATGTTTTATATTTATTATCATAATAGTATTAGTTTAGTATTTGTGTTTGTATAGACCAATACTAACAATAGTATTGGTAAGCAATGTAGTAATGATTGCGCGAGCGCTGGCTCACTTGTTCGCTCCAGCTATCAGGGTAATGTAGAATTTAATACTGTGTAGGTGAGAGAGGAAACTAAGAAGAAACTGGTGGCTGACTGCTAGTGAACATTGTGTGTTGGTGTTGTTACGGTGCTCCAGCTCGCTCCGAGTTTGAGCTTAGAGGATCAGTAGCTTTCGGCTACGGATCAGTGTAGCTGTAGCTGTTGCAGTCGCCCTGAACAAGTATATACCAATAGCAAGTAGCAACATCACCACTTCCAATAACACTAACAACATCATCATCATCAAGATCATTATTTTAATTAAATACTCAGGTGACACTCGGCAAACGTTTTATGAATTAGCATAAAAATAAAATTAAAATATGTTGTGTTAATCAAATGGAGATTAGGATTGGTCCATCGCAGTGTCATCATGATAGCCCTTGTCTCAGTTAAAGACACAGTGTTGTTAACTCGGAACACTGTATGGTTTATCGGGTGACTTAGTTGTTGACATAGGGCTTATTTTATTGTCAATGTCCATCCGGGCTGGTGAGGAGGTGGAGGTACTCACCTCGTTGTCGTTGCCATTCTTGAAAGGGTACTATCAACAAACGAAAATAATTAACGAGACAATTGACAAGGCTTCATCCTCTTTGTTATTATTGTTCGTGTGGTTGTCATACGGCGTTAACTTATTTCGACAATTTGTCACCCAGAGAAGATAAACGTGATATATTTATCCGGGAAGTCTACTGCAGATATTAATCAGAGATAATTAATACACCGAGAGAGTAGAGCATTATTTATTTCAATATCCTTAATAATAATAATTGTTGTTTTTCTTGTTATTATTATTAATATTTTGTTATTATTTTGAATATTATGTGGATGATATATAATAACAGTGATTCGTTATTTTATAAAATTGAGTAACGCCCTAGGCTAGGTTTTATTTTATCAATACCTTAATGGATTAGTGATTATTTATTTAATATTCTATAATATTGACTCATATTGAGTTTCGTTGGCTTTCAAGTGCTTACGAGGCTATTGTTGGGAGAATTTCAGATCTTAAATAGAAAATAATTCTCCAGCAACTGGGATTGCTTACACACCAAAGATGATGGCCAATAATAAACAACCCTCGATAAACGCGATGCAGACAAAACAAGTGGAAGTTTCACCCCAGTTGCAAGCAGGGGAGAAATTTATAAAATGGGATGAGGTAATTTATCATTTTTATTACTATGATGTCGATATAGACTTTTTTGTTTATCTTCCGCTCCAATGTTTACTTTATACTGATAATTCTAATGAACTATTTACATCATTTATTTGATAATACCATTATCTGTCTATTATGTAACGGTATATTTATCTAAGGAAATTAATGTATAATACTCCTATTAATGTTATTATTATTATTATTATTATTTTTTTTTTTTTATTATTCCAGGACTCCGGTGTGGGTACTCCAGTTACACTTAAAGTTGATGAGTTTGGATTTTATCTGTACTGGATTGATCAAAATAATGAAGTCGATATGCTGGATATCGCTATTATACGAGACACCAGAACTGGAAAACACGCCAAAGTACCTAAGGTATATATTGTCATTCTTATTTGTTATCAATTATCTATACACTAGAAAAAAAATTGACTTAAATCAAGAGAAAAATTCTTGAATCAAGAAAATAATTTTGAAGGGTTTGATTGTCTTGAATCAAGATGAAAAATTCTTGAATTAAGTAAAAATTACTTGAACTTAGAAAAATTTCTTAGTTTAAGAATTTTCTTACACAAATCAAGAAGATTAAATTCTTCAAAATTATTTACTTGATTCAAGTTAATTTTTTTTGTGTACTAATAAATGGAGAGCCGGTTTTTTTGTCCGGTTATACTGCGAAAACTACTGAACCGATCGGATTAATACTTATACCATAAAATGCAGCGTGTTTCGGAGAAGGTTTTAGTACATGATATGTTGATGATTACTTATCCGGAGCCTATATTTTTTTGGCTTAGAAATAATGAATTTTTATTGTAACTAAATTTATTCTATTCGGTTGTCATTTGTTTAAAATAAATTTTTTTATTCTATTGGTTATTTTTATGTACTAGGCAGATTTCTTCACTTATGAGACCTGCCATTTTCTTTAACTGAAACTTTCAATGCTCATTACAAATTTGTTTTTTTTTTTTCATATCAATTATTATTTATTTTTGTAAGAAAGACACGGGAATATTATAATGATTGCACATTGAAAATTACACTGACTATTAGCTAGAATCATTTCATGGATATAAGGTACATGCCAATTAGATTAGAATTTGGAATCTGTGCAAGTCAAAACAATATTCTAATAAAATTTCAAGTTTAGATCTAAAAATGCAATTTTATAAAGCGCCCAGCGGAGCGGGCGAGTCACAGCTAGTATTGTATAATAAAATATACAGGATGTTTTGGTTTTATTAATTAAAACCGTCTAGACTCTAGACACAGCGAATATAAAAATTACAAAGCTCAGCACAAGTATAATTCAAATGCTAAAAGTACAGACTTTTATCAGATCCACTGATTACTAGTAATGCTCAACTTACATTAAAGTTACCTGGAATCTCTATAATTATATCATGTTATTGCATAGAGATGATGCCAATGACGCACATCACTGTTATGCGACATAATAATTATTGATAAAATTATAAATAGAAAATATATTACCTACTTTACCCTTTATTTATTGTTCATTATTATTATTTGTTATAACTTCACGGTATAAACTTTTTTTATTCATTAATCTTACCTACTTATGACAGTAGGTCATGAGTTAAATTGAAACAAAAAAAAATAATCTTCGAGTTGTTTTGTAAGTCAACTGCAACATGCTTTGTAATATGTCTTATTCAGAGTGTCTAGAGTTGTCAATATCAATACAAAACTTGTGACAATACATTAAGATATTTATATACATATAGATATATTATTATAAATATGTATACTTATTTTATTGATATGAATGACTGAATAGTTTCATCTAGCTGTTTATATTATATTATATAATTATATAATGTAATGAAGTAAATATAAGTACGTGTATTTATTTAATTATTTATTTATTTATTTATGTAGTAGTCTGTAATTATTGTAATTCATTTATAGGATCCAAAGTTAAAGTCACTAGTGACAATGGGCTCGCAAGACTCTTTAGAAGATAAAACATTGACCGTATGTTATGGATCAGACTTTGTTAATGTCCAAGCAATAAACTTTTGCGCGAACAAGGCGGAAATAGTACGGCATTGGACGGATCAATTATTACAATTGGCGTATAATTTAACTTTATTAAATAGTAGTGTCACTGCATTTTTACAAAAGGCCCATACAAAATTAGTTCTGACTGCTGACAAAACTGGTAAAATTTCGACAAAAAAGTAAGTTAACTCGTTTTTTATTATCATTTGTAAATATTTAAAATTTAAATTACGACGGAATTTTAATTGTATAAATATTTATTTTTTTTTTTCAGTATAATAAAAATGTTTACGACAAATAAAGAGGATCGAAAGCGCGTCGAAAAGGCACTTGATATTTCTTCTTTGCCATCTGCCAAAGTAAAATAAACAAATAAAATAATTAATTTTTAATCTGTAGATACTAATTGTTTTATGAGCTTGTTCCATAAGTTAATTTTTGTGGCTCGCTGCCAAAATTACCATTAACTTTATGTTGCTCATACATTTATCCATTAAAAGTTTTCAAAGCGACCTTGAGTGGTCGAAAAACCATATGTGTACTGATATGCGCTAATGTCTCGACAAAAAAAATAAATTAGCCGAATACTTGTAGTATATTTATGGCTATTAAATATAAATAGAATAATTAATGCACGTTCAAAAGCTCAGGCATGCTGAGTAAATGAAAATTTAAAAAACGATTCAGCTATTTAAACGATGATATGAATATTTGATACATATTGCTGGATTATCTTGAACACGTGCGGTCTAGGTATTGTGTAACTTGAATTATAAGTTACAAAACATGCCGGAGTACCTTTGAAAATTATCTATGTTTATAAGTATCATTCGTATTATGGATTACGTCATGAAAAATGTTATGTTTTTTAAATTTTACATTTTTTAAAATTACATTTCGCTTTAATGTCACTGAATTTTTTATTCTAAACCATTGCATTGTTTTGCTGTTTTGTTTTTATTTAATAATAATAATAATAATAATAATAATAATGATTAGTATGTCTGGCAGTAAACTCGTGATACACAATGTGAGTTAAATAATTGTCTACATATTTTCAATTGTCACCAGTTACATTGATAATATCTTTTATATTTGGCAGTAGTATGTCCCAAAAAAAAAAAAGTTAAAATTTATCCGGTAGGTTTGTACAATATATTTTAGCGAGTACAACTGGCATTGATCCAAAGACGCATGACGAAGAAGTAATGAATTCATTTTATCATCTTTTAGATTTTATTTTGACACACTAGTTGAAATTTTAACGAGAATTTTAATATATAAAATTAATGATTCAGGGGATTCTTATTCTATTATTATATTTATGAACAATTGTTATTAAGAATTAAGAATTCGTCTAATTTCTTATTTCGTAGATAATTATCACTCATAATTATAATTAAAAATTTTTACGTATTATTTCCTACTTCGATTATTTCTGAAAATTTTTTCTTACAACTTTTAATTTGAATTTTATTTAAAGAATAGAAGATACGATAGATTTGATACTGACTATTTATCTAATAAATTATATTTCCTAAAAAAAAATTATCTTAAAGTTTTTTCTTATCTCTATTATCTTATCCAAAATTTAAACTTGAAACATTTAAAAATTATTTTCAATGCCTTATCATTTGTTTTCAAATTTATTACATTTTTTAAACGCGTTTTTTTTTTTTTATAATGTCGGAATTATTATCCCTTGAATTGATTGCTCTTCTATATTATGACTTATGACATTTAGACAGTTTGTCATAAAATGAAATGAAATAATAAGCCCTCAAGTTCACTGATTTCTTATATCAATTGTAATAGTATAATAAATAAAAACACACTTAAATTTAAATTAATAATACCACAATCATAATAATAAATAAATAAATAAAATAAATGACTACTTTTGATTATTAATAAAAATGTTCACGTTCGTTATATCTACTGATTTATTTACTTTAATATCTGATTTAATGGTTTGTTTGATTTATCATTGCAGACTGACGCAGTGCCGCTACAAAAGTTTCAATTTAAAGACTTTTACAATTTCTACAAGTCTTTAACCCAGCGCACGGATGTTGAAAAAGTATTTGATGAAATCGTCGGTGGGAATAGCAAACGCCGATTGATGTCAACATCACAATTTGTTGATTTTCTTAATAAATCACAGCGTGATCCTCGACTCAATGAAATATTATATCCGTACGCGAACGACGCTCGAGCTCGAGATATTATCAATCAATACGAACCGGATAAAAATAACGCCAGCCGAGGACAATTGAGTTCAGATGGTTTTCTTAGGTATTTAATGAGTGAAGATAATCCAATTGTTGCCATGTCCAAGTATGAGCTAGATGATGATATGGATCAACCACTCGCTCATTATTTTATCAATTCTAGTCACAACACTTATTTAACAGGTAATTTTAACTATCAATATCGCTGTAAATACTCTTATAAAAAGCTTTAGCTTTTTCTTCTAAGTAACCACTTTATATTATGTCATTTCATTGACGTTAAATATTAATAAAGTACTTGAGTATTTATAATTCATAAGCTTGTTATTATATTTAATTATTTTTTTAATAGGCCATCAACTTACTGGAAAAAGTTCCGTCGAGATATACCGGCAGTGTTTACTCTCAGGTTGTCGTTGCGTTGAATTAGATTTCTGGAATGGAAAATTTGACGAGCCTGTAATAGTTCATGGGTAAAAATTATTAGCTTAAAAAAAATATATATTTTCATCTCTTGCTTAGTATTTATTTCTGGGCCAGTCTATTTTTTCCAAGTATATATAATATCTAAAGTAGATAGAACTTAAGGGAAATATTTTATCAGATACACATTTGTGCCTGAAATATGCGCTCGGGATGTGATCGAGGCGATAGCGGAGAGTGCCTTCAAAACATCCGAATTCCCGGTTGTACTCAGTTTCGAGAATCACTGCAATCCGCGTCAACAGGCTAAGATTGCTCAGTATTGTAGGGAGTACTTTGGTGACATGTTGCTTGACGCTCCCCTTGAATCGCATAAGGTATTGCTAGTTGTAGTTGCTAAATAATAAACCTGTAGTTAGTAATTAGATTTAGCGCTAAATAACCCATCTATTTATTTGAATCCTTAAAAAAATCTTGCTGTTAATTAAAATTTAATTTCTAACTTTTGTAAATACTTTTTTTCATTTTAAAATACTAAATAATTTTTTATTTGAATTTAATCCATAATTTTAATTAAAAATAAAAAAAAATATTTTTACAACATTGACTCATTTTATTAACAATTTAATTGTATTTAATTTATGGTGTAGCTATTACCAGGTCATGAGCTTCCACCGCCGTCGCTACTGAAACGCAAGATAATAATAAAGAACAAAAAGAAGCACCGTAATCACAAGAAAGACCACAAGAAGCACCAGCAAGGAGATCAGGCTGCTCAGGCCGGTCAAGTGGCCGAGACTAATGGTGTCAGTCAGCAAGCTGACGGTGAGAACGGTCCACCACCCGACGTAATCCCGCAAAATGAAGTAGACGGCGAGCAGTCAATTGGCAATGACGTATCTCATAGTCCGGCGATGCTCCCGCAGCGACAGGGTAGTAAAGACAGTAATCCAGATGATGAAGATGATGAAGACGAGTCCAGTACCGAGGAAGATGAATCAAACGTTGAGGATATTAAACTGAGGATGGACGATAAGGTGGCAGCTACCGATAAAGTTGCATCTACCGCCAAAGAAACGGAAGCCGGGGCTGAAATATCAGCTCTCGTAAATTATGTACAGCCTGTGCACTTTAACAGCTTTGAGAATGCTGAGAAAAAAAATCGTATGTACGAAATGTCTTCGTTTGATGAAAAGCAAGCGACAACTTTGCTCAAAGAGCGACCATTGGAATTTGTCAACTATAACAAGCACCAACTATCTCGTGTTTATCCGGCCGGAACGCGGTTCGACTCGAGTAACTTTATGCCTCAGGTATTTTGGAATGCCGGCTGTCAGTTGGTTGCTTTAAATTACCAAACTCTCGATCTAGCTATGCAACTAAACATTGGAATCTTTGAGTATAATCAACGCTGTGGCTATTTGCTCAAGCCGGAATTCATGAGACGTAAGGATCGCCGCCTGGATCCATTCGCCGAGTCAACAGTCGATGGAATTATTGCCGGTACTGTACACATACACGTAATATCTGGACAATTTTTGAGTGACAAAAGGGTGGGCACGTACGTCGAGGTCGACATGTATGGTCTGCCTGCGGACACTGTACGCAAGAAGTTCAAGACTAAAATAGTACCTAACAATGGGATAAATCCTATTTACGATGAAGAGCCTTTTGTATTCAAAAAGGTCGTGTTACCTGAGTTGGCGTCACTGCGTATCGCTGCTTATGAAGAGTCTGGCCGGTTAATTGGCCACCGAGTTCTCCCCGTAGTGGGTCTTTGCCCGGGTTACCGGCATGTGACACTCAGGAACGAGTGCGGTCAGCCCCGTCCTCTAGCCAGTCTCTTTCTACATGTTATTGTTAAGGACTATGTACCTGACGGATTCAACGACTTCGCTGAGGCTCTTGCCAATCCAATTAAATATCAGTGTGAGCTGGAAAAGCGAGCTAAACAATTAGAACGGTTGATGGACATTGATGAGCTCGAAGGGGATTCCGATGTAAGTTTTTCTTATTATTTAATTTTTCTATTGGTATTTATTTAGGGTTTACTAACAATGTGTGTGTTGGTGTGTTTGTGCTTACTAACATTGGTAAAGGATAAAGATAAGGATAAAGACAAGGATAAAGATAAAGAAAAAGATAGAGAAAAAGATAAAGAAAAGGAAAAGGAGAAAGAAAAAGTTTTTACTAGTGCTGCAAAGCCAACTGTGAGTTTTGTATGTAAATTTTTATTTGTTATACGTGAATATTTATTTATTTATTAGTTGTTCTGGTTAGTTTATTTATAGATAAAATGAGTAGCTGAAATTCAAAAGGGGAGTTATAATTTCCAATTATTATTTTATTAAAATAAATAAGTTAAATTTTTTTGCTTTTAAATATTATTTTCGTTTTTCAAGTATACTTTTCTTTTTGGTACTAGTTAAAAAGTAAGAGTAATTATTAAAAAATCTCCGCTTGAATTTCAGCTTCGTAAAATTTAAATTGATACTTGATACTTTGATACTGGTGGTTATGGGGTGGTTATTGAGGTATAATAATTGTCTTTAAGGATGAAACAACAAAAGCAAAGAAATTACAGCCTTCCGGCGATTTATCGGGTGCGTTACAGTTGTCAGAAAGTCCACACGGGCGAGCATCAACTGCGGGCTTGGAAGTCCAAGATACTCCTGATGTGGAAGACGGAGTTGTGTCGTCAACAGTTTCTGTTGTTGATGTTACGTCAAATAAAAACGCGTCTGTCATAGTTTCGAGTAAATTTACTTAATAATATTTATGTTACTGCGTTTATTAACTGGCAAAAGTAATACAAGTTTGTGTTTGTTGTTAAATTAAGTTGGAGATGGAATTGTCGCGGAGCCATTGGAAAAACTTATGACTAACAAGCTTGTTTTGGAGAAAAAAGGAGAGTTTGAGAAAAAACTTGAATCTTTGCGTCGCAAGCATGAAAAAGAACGATTGCGTTTACAATCTGGAAAAGGATCTGTTGACGGTGAAAAACACAAATCTAAATTTTACAATAATAAATTGGTGAAACGACTTTCTACTAAAAATATGTAAGTTTTTTTTTTTTTTTTTATTTTAATTTGTGCTCCAGTAAACAAAAAGATGAGGTTTAACTCGGAAAATGTAAAATAAATTTGTTTTTTATTATTTTGTCACAATAGATTTTCCACTGACGTTGGTTTGAGTGTGACTTTGCCGGAGACGTCAGAGTGCCAGGAAGAGGGTGTCGAGGGACCTTCAAAAGGTCTTCCCAAGAGTCAAAGTGAACGGTTGTTAAACATACTCAAAGAGCATTTGGATCAAGAAAAAGAACTACAAGATAAATACCACGACATTGTGTATGCCATGGTTGAAAAAGTTATGACAACGTCACAGACAAATCAGATGAAGACACTTAAAGTTCTTTTGGAAAGAGAAATAAGCAGTGCCATGAGAAGGTTACAAAAATTACGACACCTCGAGGTTTGTAACTTTTTCAGATAAAATTTCAAAGTTTGAAATATATATTGATCGATATACATGCATTTTAAATGAGGAACCCGGTAAATTGGAATAGACACTCGTCAAAAGTTGTTACATTGATTGTATATTTGATCTCGCAGTCAATGTAACAGAACTTTAGACAAATTTTATCAGTTTAAGTTTACCAGGCTCATTATTACGAGCATACATGAACTTTAAAAGCATAAGTTACAAAAACAAAATTTTTAATTATAAATTATTGCGTTGATTAGGTGAAACAGTTGTCAAAAGTACATAAAGATAAGGCGGAATTTGATCGCATGAAACGAGAAGTCGGTAAGACGACTATTGAGAAGGGAGTTAATGAATGTAGCAGGTTGACGGATATTTATGATAAGAAGAAAGCTGAGCTTGAGTCGCAACACGAGGAAGTTCGCCAGAAACTTGAAGAGGAGAGAAATAAGGTACTAGTTGCTTAATTTTAAATCTGCATTCATCTAAAACTTTCAAGTTAACCATTAGCAATAAAATTAACTGAATAAAAAAGTTTATTTACGATTAAATTACTAAATACTTAATGTCTTGGTAATTATTGAAACCGAGGATAGGACATTAAAACAGTATAAGGGTTAATTGTGTGGTTTTATTAATTTAAAGAGGCAGATATGTAGTTATTTTATTAAAATTGGTTGAATTTTCAGGTAAAGGCAGCAATACAAGCCGAATATACTAGTAGTTACAATAAATATGAGAGCGGTGAGCTGGCATTAACGCCTTCAGCTAGCACAAGTTTTGCCGACACACTGAATAAAACACCCTACTGACTCCCCCCGCAGGATCGCGACCAGATCCATGAGCTATATCGCAATCGACCTTTTCACGTCTAGTGCATGTTGAGCGAACAGATAAAGACTTTTTAAAAATAGAATATTACAGTTTCGAAAACGGAAATATTTAAGCCGCGAATGCTTTAATGACAAATGGTAGAAAAAAAAATGCTGGACGTGATTACACTGAGGAATAACCTTCCTCGGGTATTTTATATTGTATCTGATGAAAGACACGCTTTGTCGACGTCAAAGTCTTTGCAGTTTTGTGTCTATTATGAGACAGGTATTTTAAAATCTTTAAAGATATAGTACGTCGCACAAAGTACGATATATCATAGCCATAGCTCCTCAATTTATTTTTTTTTGTTTTATTTTTATTGATTTAATTTTTTTGTTGTTTTTTAACAGTATTAAAAGAGTACAGGTTACCATTTAATTTTTATTCTATTATTATTATTATTTAAGTAATCCATGTATAAATAATTTATAGCAAAATGATTATTGTCAGACCGTACATTATTCTAAATAAGTGTAAACGATTGCTCTCCATCTTGTTGTTATATACATAAGAGTTATCCATTTATTTTATTGCCACGAAATATTAATATAAATATAAAACATACATACATACAACATGCATAATTATAATAATAATAATAATTATTAATTATAATAATGATTGATGATATTGAGGAATAATTGGATTTTTAAAATGATAAATGAAATCCAGATTTATAAAATTAAAAACTTGTCTGGCCTAGAAAAATTTTAATTATTATAATAAATTTTTGGGCAATTGTAAATTTGACTGAAAGTAAATGAAAAAAAAAAAAAAAAAATTAAATAAATTATTTGGCAACCGTATAATAATATTGATAATAATAAAATAAGTTTTGTGGTAAAACAAATAATTCATCAAATTAATAATTTAATCGACAGATTTATATAAATTTATTTCGACTGAGACGTGGGTCTGAGATAACTTTTTTTAAATTATTTAAATAATAAGTGAATAAATAAAGTAAATTATCATCGTGTAAGGCTTATTCGTACATAAATATCATTTTGGACACTGAGCAATTGGTTAAACGGTAGCTTCGAGGAAGACAATCAAAAAAAAAAAAAAAATTTTTACACGATAAGCATTTAGCGGTAACATTTTTTCCTGTTATTTATAATCGTATTAAAGAAGATAATGAATTAAATTAATGATAATAATTATTGTAATCAAATCCTCATTAATTGTAAATCTGATTATTTATAACCATCAGCGATGAGTATTCTATTTATTTTTAAGATTAGTCACAAGTTACCATTTGTCAACATAAGTATAAATCAATATATCTATATATTTATTGACATAAGATTAATATTAATGATAACAATAATAATAATGATAATGATGATTAAAATAACTAAATAAATATTAAGAAATCAATGTCTTTCAAATGATACATTGATTAATGGCGGTTAGATTTTGAGAGTTTCGTTATTTAATTAATTTATTTTATTATTAATAAAATATTTAACGACTCCAAAGTTTTTTTAATGCCAAAAGCACTGTTTAAATAATTCATTATTGCCGTTACGCTTATTTGTTTGTCGGCAAAATGAAAAATGGATAAATAAATAGATAAATAAATAATATTAATTGTGCGAGACCTCGATCAAACCGCCGTAGATGTTGCGAGACGCGTTGTGATATATAATGGATCTCAAAAGCAATCGTATGATTGATGAAAAAATGAATAAAATCTACGACTAAGGGGAGACAGGAAGAAAATGAATGGAAAATAATAATAATAATAATAATTAAATTAACAAAAGTACAATGCTTCTATTTCTCACTGAAGTTGCTACAATCGTACGAAAGTCGACTGAACTATTTGCTAATAATATTGTTAGAGAAAAAAAAAAAAAGAGAAATAATAATAATATTAATATTTAAATAAATAATGAATTCATATTTGACGGATACGAGTTTCAATGAATTTATATCAATGAATAATAAATTATTATTTTTTATCAACGCTCAGTTTTAAATAAAAGTAGATTAAAAATAATAAAATCGTTAAAATGAGCTTCAATACATCTGAGAGCAATATATACTGGATATTCAACGATAATATTAATTAAATATGTGAAACTTGTATCAATTATACCGATCCCCAGAGTCCATTTAGTCCATTATATTTATACTTAACTAAAAATTGCATTTGTAGATAGTAATTGTATAATTGTAAACATAAATTATAAAAATAAGAGCAAGTTTTATTTAATACCCGCGACAAGTCAACGTTTTATGTCGCCGTTAATTATTGTAATAGTTAATTAATTTATTCACCTGTAATATTTTTAAATTAATGTAATGGCGATGAAAGTAGGAGATGTATAATCATTTTTGATATTTTTAAATATACCATTATAATATTGATAGATGAAAATTAAAATATTTAACGCGAAAAAAATTAAAAAGTCATTTTTACCGAAAAATATAATATTTATTTAAAAATTCAAACTATTGTACGTCTGCTATTTTTAGTACCATATTAGCGTAAACAAAATCAAATAATTCCATTTAATTATTCAGTCACGCATTTAAAATAAATCATATAATTATAAATTAAAAATGAAAATTCATTGCAGTTAAAATTATTCAAAGAGTTATAATTTTTTCTCGCTAGTTAATAATCATAATAAAAAATGGAATTATCCGGTTCTGTTGGAAACAAAAAACTTGACAGGACTAAAATACGCATTTTAAATGCAAATTGTTTGATGAGAATTCTCTATAAGAGATTTTATGAATGCATTATAAACTCAAGCATAGATCTGAATTTTGTTAATTATTATAAAAAATTGTGTTCACTATTTTTGTTTGTATGTATTTTTTTAATTCAACTGATCAATCTCAAAAAAAACTTGCGATTTTCCTTACACATTTTCTTCCATGCCATATACATATAAATATATTTATACAAATGGGTATATACTTATAATTATACTAATATAATTGTAATAATAATATTAAAAATAGAGATTATTATATTCGCGTTGATATACTATGTGTTGTTGCTGTTAATGTTGTTAATAAATGTAGCGACGGTAGCTAGACAAATGAAAAAACTAAATGTTTGATATCTTATCTTTGTGTAATAAATGTGTAAAATTTCCATGCGCTGACTTGCCAGATTAAAGCGCGATACAGTTATTTTAATGATTATTTATACATTAATTACTTAACGCAACAAAACTATTGTATTTAAAAAAAAAAAAAACAAAAAAAACAAAAAAAAAAAAACAAAAATTAGTCTTCCTTAAATTGAGGAAAGAAAAACCAAATATATATTGTATTGTAATTATTTATTCAATATTTACTGTTGATTCACTTAAATCATATATTTATTAAAATATTTTCTGAATGTCTACACACAAATGTCAGTAATTAATTTTAATTAACTGTATATAAATATATTTTAATAATTTTGATCGAGTAACTTGCTCCTTTATATTTCGTCAATTTTTGAATATAAATAAATAAATATTTATATAAAAAAAAAAATATATATATATATACATATACATATTTATTGCAAGGCTCGTCAGTCGCGTGATTATGACGCTTAAATATTTGTGTTACTAGAATCATATATATATATCTATATATGGATATTAATTAATTGATTAATATAAATATATAAATATTTATCTTGTCAATGTAAATTTTCATTAAAATAAATACATTTAAATTGTATATTGTGATGAAAAAAAAAATTTTGTTAGCTGCGTGGAGATTTCCGAGGAGTATTCAAATTAATAATTCAAAAATTTGAATAATTCGCACACGCTGATGAAAAATAATAATTTAAATACTAGGAATAATTGTTTGAAAATTTGTTTCATCAGAGAGTGCCACTGAATGGTAATGATAATGATCATAAATTATGCTCACACGCTTTTAAATTTAATCTTTATTAATAGGACACCAATTACTGTCTTAAATATAAGTATATGATATTTATAATTATAATTATAATAATAATAACTAAAAAAATAAATAATAATTATTAAGTGTAGTGCAAACGGCCTATTGACTACTCGTAGCTTAATCTGCTTAATTGTGATTCTGTGAAATAATTAGCAAGAGAATTAAAACTTCTCTCTTGAACTTTTGTTTCTGCCATTCTAAAAAATTTTTAATTAAAGCCCAGCAAAATTACCCGACAGTACGTGAATTAATGAAGGGTTTTAATTAAAAAATATTTATCGATTTTCAATCTACGTACAAATGTAAACAAAAAAATAATTTTACAACGATTTCCGGTACCTGGCCGCTGTCAAACACTCGAATAAATTCTAATTATCAACGAGTATAAACCAAACGCTAAAGTAAATTATAAAAAAAAAAAAAAAAATGTTAAATTAACAATTAATTATCTTGTTTGTACTCACTCGATTGGGCTTGGAACAGGTTTTCATTTAATTGTTACTAAAATTATTTTAATGGAGCACAAACTTATTAACAAAACTCTTATATCTAAACTCTGAAGGAAGTCCTTCTTGACTCTATGATAGTATCGAAGCTACGAAGTCTCTTTAGCAATTTAATTATATTCATACTTATAAATACTAAGCTAAGTACATTGATGAGATTCTGTTGAATTCTAAACCTCTCAATATAACACTCATCAGTGTACGCCACTAAATTTATTTAAATGTATACGTATAATTACAATAATTGTGGTAAATAATAACTGTTCAATGTGTGGATGAATTAATGTTAACTAAAATTATTTTTAAATATTTTGTAATTGCATTAACGCATGCACTGTCTAAATTAAATTGTTAAATAAATATAAAAAAAAAATTATGATAAAAATTAAAACAAAAATCTTTTGACAGTGTATGTGTCAATTAATAGTATTTAAAAAAAAAGCTGCTACCGTTTATTTATTGCAGCAATTGTAGGACTGAGTGATGTCGGTAATGTTATTTAATTATTAATAAAAATAAAAGTTGTTTTTATTTATAATAATCTGACAATAATAATTATTTTGTTTTGTTAAATTAAATTTATTATTTAAATAATGTCTTCCATTTCTGAGTTTAATTAACAGTAACAAAGTGCATACAGTAATAATATTTATAAAGATTTTTTTTGTCTTTGATATGAAAGTATATTTATAACTTGCTATTTTTCCGATGAGATGAGATTCTTTACATTGATTAAACACTTCTTAATTTAGATGTTTACAGTCGACGCTTTAATTATTGTTATTATTATTATAAATTATAATTATTACATAAAACGACCGACAATAACTTAATAAGCGTTTACCTTTAAGCGAAGGAATTGCTTTGCTGTGCAGCTATTTGAATAAATGTCGGTAGAAAAAAACGTATATTACAAAGATAAAGGATAAAAAACGTTAATTCAATAAATAAATAAATAAAATAAAAATAACACTGTCTTTTCTCACGTGCTCCATAGTTATAGATAAATCTATTTATAGTATATACACTACCATGTATACTTTATATTAATTAATTAATTATACATTCATATAAACTTATACATAAACATATTTATATATTTTAAGATGAAAGTACATAATCGTTACATCATAAATAATTATAAAAAGTTATTAAGGAAAATGAAATTTTTTATTGGATATATTTTTTTTCGATATTTAAAAAAATTTTTTTTTTTTCTTTTATTGATATTTAATTTTTTAAAAAATTATAAAATTTTTTTTTATTATAACTTTTTTCAAAAATTATTTTATAATTTAAAAATTTTTTTCAGTAATTTTTTCAGTAAAAAAAGAGTTTCTTTTTATGAAAATTTAATTATATTAAAAAAAAAAAAAAAAATGTTTTCATTGAAAAATTTCCAATGACAGTGAAGAAAATTTGAGCTCAGTATCGAATCGTAATTACAAAAAATTGTACTGATAAAAAAAAAGTAATTGAAAAATCCAGCCAAGATAAATTGGCATGTAAAAAAAATACTTAATTAATTTTATAAGCATTTGAAATTTATTTTTAGGATCAGATACTTAAATAATTATAATTGTAGCCATAATATAATATCCTGAAATTTGTTTGTAATTAATTAAAGTATTGATTATATGCCAATCGAGCGACAAGCCCTACGGACATACGCTAGTATATTAGAGACGGAATTAAAGAAAAAGTAAAAAAATCAAGTAGAAATCATCCTATAATTTTCTCTCAGACTCACTTGTGCCTTGCCCTCGAGTACTCCTCATACTTTTGTCCGTAAAAATTGTACGATAAAAAAAAAAACTTGCTCTCTCTGTCAGTCTGACTCTATGCAGTAGCAAGAGCTAGATAAACACATTTTAAATAAAAGATTAGAGTAATTAATAAAACTAAAAAAACTTGTTCGATGTTCGATGTTTGCTTCTATCGTAAGTTTCTCTATTATTTTATCACTAAAACTTGCGTACTTGTTAGACGATAGTTAGTTAAAAAATAAAAAAAAAATTTTATCGATAAAGCATGTAAATTAGTGGCAAGGCGCGATTTTAATGTTAAACTTTAAACGTTCGAGGTTTTTATTTATCAATTACTTGTAAATGTTTATCTTTAAAAAAGTATAAATAAGTATAAGATGCGACAGGATAAAATTGTGACTTACTCGGTAGTTTATTGTACTGGTTAGTAATTAGATTAGTTAGAAAAATTGTTACCTGCTATATATGGGAATAAAAGTCACTTCTAAATATTATACTACTACTGTGTATCTGTAAGATAATTAATTATAATTAATTACTACTAATTACACTGTATGTTCAATATTGTACGACGTATGGATAACGAATATTATATAAATGGCTAAATCATACTGTAAAGTCAAAGACTAGCATTTAAATAAATAATTCACTGTTGTAAAAAAATTTATTTCATTGAGAATTTTTTTTTTCTCCGTCTATCTTACGGCATTAAATAAATATTATTATTTTTAGAGAAATTATTTATTTTGATTAATTTTAATTAATTTACAAGCATGTATGGATAATACTCACATTTCATGCTTGTAAAGGTGGACCATCTTAAGAACTCCGTCGTCCATCTTACGGCTTAAATAAATTTTATTTTGTTTAAGATATTTTAAATTAATTTTTTTGTTAAATTAATTTTTTTATTAAATTAATTACTTTTTTTTTTTATTAATTTAATTTTAATACCGAATAGCTTTTTTTTTAATTTAAACTTTATTGTTGAAAAAAATTTTTTTTTAATCATGCAAAAAGAGTTTAAAATTCCCCAAGTGTATTTATATCAATAATTAAATTAGTTATAAGTTTTTTAAGAATTATGTGTCTGCTGCAATCATACTCTTTTTTTTTTATAATAGTAAAAATTAATATATATTATTTTTTCTACAAAAATTATTAATATTAAATTTTTGTCGTTAATAATTAATAGTCAATATTTTTATTATTTTTGTATTTATAAACGATGTAATAAATAACTTAATTTACAGAAATTTATCAATAATCATATAGTTACATTTATAGTCCCGTGAAAAAATATTCTGATCAGGCTTGATATGAGTTGATTAGGCCATATAAGAATTTTTGATATATTCATATTTGGCCTGATATGATCTGATATGTCCATATTTAATTTTTGATATGTCCTGATATGGCCTGATATGGAAATTGGCCATATCAGGCCATATCTAGCCTTATTAACTTGATATGTCTATATCAGACTTGATATCTTGAAAAAAAAATCCCTGATAAGAGTTGATATGACTTGATAAGGCTTCGTATAGTCGGATATACCCTTATCAGTACATAAGTAGTCTTATCTTAGTTACATACTTATGTAAAAGCATACCAGAGTAAAAAAACTATATAATTCATATGTAATATATATAATATATAATATATAATATTCATATAAATGAATCATATAGAATTCTATATAATTTTTTTTACTCAGATGGGTATTTTGTGATTACTATTAAGCATTCTCTTTTTTTATCCAAGAGTCTGTTACTCCAATGATTAACAATCTTTCAATAAATAGTATTTTGCGAATGAAATAATAGGAACTTAAAAAAAATTTAATTTCACAAAAATTATTAGTTTTGTCAAGTTCATAAATTTTTAGTCGGGCCCTCTAGCTATATATAGTTCCATATACTAAATAAAAATAATTCCATCAAAATTTGAGCTTTTAATTCTGATTCTACCTCTATTATTTTTTTTAATTTTAAAGGAATTATAAATTCTAAAGCAACGAACTACCTTAACAATATCGTAGAATCATTTTTGCGATTTCATGTATATGTAGGTAATTTTATAAATCTACATATAGATACCATTATTACTTATATATTGATAATTAATAATTAATAAATTAGATGGAAAATTTTGTTCACTACAAATCGATCATGTATAAGATTTGCATTACTTGTAGTTATAACAAACTGTGCATTTCAAGTAAGTCTCTTCGGTAAATAGATAGTTGATTAGTCTACCGAGCGTCAGGTCTACGGTTCGATTCCCACACGCGCCGATTTTTTTTTTTTTTTATGGAACTAATTATTTATAATGACTAGAATTTAATTTTCGCGCGCAAGCGCGCGCCTTGACTATAGAGTTTGCATATATTTTCATGCTTATGATATATTCGACCAATCACGTTACGAATAGTTTGATGCCACATATATTTCATCTCAATTTTATTATAGGATACCTAATTCTATATAATTATATATGGCTATTTTTCATACATAATTATATAATAAAATTATATATAATTTTTTTTTACTCGGGCGGGTATATAGTCTGATATACTTATATCAAGGCATATATAGTCTGATATGGCCAATTTCCATATCAGGCCTGATATAGTCTGATCAGAAAATTTTTTCACGGGGTCATATAATATTCAATAAAAATAAATTTACTGAGTTAATTATTCCAAGTGTAAACCCTAAATTTAAAAACTTTGGTAAATTTTTAAAATTCTTAAACGTATAGTACTTTTGTAAGCTTAACAATTTTTATTATAATTTTTTATAACTTCAATAACAATCATATTATTTTCGAAAAACTATTCAATGGTTTTCTAAAGTAAGCAATCAGTACTTCATACCTATCGAGAACACTGTACCCCGTAGATTTATTTTTATGGCTCTCAAATATTATTTTGTGCTCGGCTACTTCTTTAGTGATTGCAGTGTTGAACTCGTCTCTTAAATTCTCCGGTATTCTGTTGAGGAAGGGGTTGATTGCGATTACGTGTTCTGTAAAAATATTAATTAATTTTATTAATTATAAACTTTACGGGTCTAATCTATAAACTTGTAATTTTTCAAAAAAAAAGTACTTTGTAAAATTTCCATGTTTGCAAAAACGTAAGTTTTCTCTCTGTTACTGCAGTGTAATACTTCAAAGCCAACTTCTTCTAAAATTTTCTTCAGCGAAGCGCGCGGGTTGGAACAGCTTTGAAATGGCGGAACGTATTTTAACACATCCTATTTAATTGAATTTTTTTTTTTTTAGTATTTAATTATAAATTATAATTAGCTATTTTGTCTTTGGTATTTAATTACCTCCATATAAGATTTGTAGCGTGGGTTCGTTTGAAATTTTATGAAAGCGTCAAATCCACTGTTGTAAGACAGAAACATTACAAGGGAACGTCCTCCTGGTCGAAGAAGCTGATAAATGTTTTTTAAAGTCAATCTGCAATTTTAGTTATTTTATTTATATCACCAATAAATTTTTTTTTGCAAATAAATAATGAGTAAATATTGAAATTTTTTTTTTCCACTAAATTTAATCAAAATTTTTAATTTCAAACTATAATATTCTTTTTTTTTTTATTTCCAAAAAATTATATCTATAAATTTGAACTTTTTATCTAAAGGATAAAAAATAAAAAATATAAAAAAATTAAAAAAAAAACTTTCTTATAATTTTTTCATGTCTTCAAAATTTAAATGATTATTTTAATATTTTTTTTGAAGTAAAAAAATTTTTTTTATAAATTTTGATTTAATTTTTTTCTCAAAAGAAAAGTATAAAAAAATTAATAAATTTTTCTATAGAAAAAAAAAATTTCCTAAGAAAATTCTTTTTTCATATTTTTAAAATCAAAATAACATAATTTCAATGTCAAATTTTGAAAATAATTTTTGACAGTAAAAATAATTACCTCATATCCTGACACCAATGAAGGCAATAAAACGACAAAGCATTATCATATTTCTCAATTTCTTTAATCGGAAGTTCATCAGTCTCGATGTTGAGTTTTAAAAACGACAGCCTTTTTTCGTCACAGTGCTTTTTTTTGGCGGATTCAATCATCGAGTCCGAAATATCTGCGCCGACGACCACGCTTTCGGCTGGTAATTTTGGCAAGATCAATTCTTTGGTTACGTGACCAGGACCGCAACCAATATCAATGCACTTGCCGTACATCGAGGATATTTCGTCCGCGAATTCCTCGATAATTTCGCACGCATCCCTTCGTTGCAAGGAGTACGCGTCGATGTATGATTCACTGTCAAATGCCTTCTCCATTATTTTTATAAAATACTTATCTATTGCTTTAGATACTTTTTAAAAACTTTTAGGCTGGTATAGTTTAACGCCGTATTATCACAAAAGAATAAATTTGAACTGATAATTTACTGGCCCGGTCCTCGGTATATATACCAAGTCCCACCTCCTATTCGATATCTTAGCCATCGTTATTATCTACAATGCTTTATTTTTGTAACAACCAAGGACTTGTGTATGAATTACTATTAAAAAAAAAAAAACGGCAATAGAATAGAACTATAAATATGGTGACACGATGAATGACTTAAGGATAAAATATAACGACGATAAAAATATCCATTGATAAAATATTCTTTTATTTTCGGAAATTTAATGTTTTAATTTTTTTAACGAATAGATACACGGAGAGAAAAATATGGAAATCATTCCTATAATTTTAATGAAATATTTTCCTATACCATTTTAGGAGCGATTACTTAAATTATGGGAATTATACCCATAATTTTTGGGAAACGTTACTATAATTATGGGAATGGTTCCTATAATTATAGGAACGATACCTATAATTATAACTATTGTATCGGCATGATTCCCATAATATATAGGAATAGTTTCCATAATATTATAGGAACCATTCCTATAATATTATGGGAACCATTCCCATAATATTATAGGAATGATGCCAATAATATTGGAGTAATTTTTTTTGCACACAACTGTGGTATTTAATTATTTACTTTTCACTAGATTTATTTTTTTTGGTTAAGTGATTTTTTTTTATAAATATAATATATATATATATATATAAATTGATAAAAAAAATTATCAGTAATAATATTTATTATTATTATAATTATGAAATTAATCAGTTGCAGCAGTTAATATTTTTTTAATCTTGAATGGTATACATGCTTGTAAATTAAAAAAAAATTAATTATTAAAAAAAAAGTTAATTAAAAAAAAAATTTCTTAAATAAAATCAAATTTCCAATTGTTTTGAAATTCCAAATTTTCAAATGTTTTCGCGGCTTAACGTATGTATTGTAAATAAATAATTTACTTTAAAAATAAAATGAAATTGTGGAAATAAACAATGAATTTCCATATCTATTTTGCTCTTACAATTGTATAGTGAGAAAATATCCTTCTTATTAGAGCAACTTTGAAATTGCTACAATATTTTTCAATATTATTTAACACAATAATAACTAAGCTGGAATAAATAATTCAAGATTGAGTACACACGTGAATAAAAATTATGAAAAAGAAATTTACAAAAAAAATTTTATTAGCAAAAAAAAACACAATAATTACTTTATATTTTTGAAGTGATTGCTTCATTATTAAGAAAATAAACTTTTTTCTATTATTATGTGCATCATTCCCATAATATTATAGGAACCATCTCTATAATATTATAGGAATCATTCCTATAATATTATAGGAATCATTCCCATAATATATTGAAGCTATTCCATTATTGTATAGGAACGATTCCAATAAATTATGGGTATGGTTCCCATAATGAGTATAGGATTAATGCCTACACGGAAAGAATAAGATTATACTGGATATAATCCCAGATTATACTGAGTGAAATTTTTTTTCCAGATAGTAGCTAGTATAATCCAGATAACAATGAGTATAATCCAGATATTATCCAGTATAATCTGGATTATACTAGCTACCATCTGAAATTTTTTTCGCCTCAGATGTCACTGAGTATAATCTGAGATGGTATCCAGTGTCATCTTGTTCTTTCCGTGTATAATGATAATTTTATTATAGGATCCATTCCCATAATTGTTGGAAAGATTCCTATAAATTTCTCTCCGTGTAATTGTAAAAAATTGTTTTTTTTTTTTTATGTAAATAATTTTCACTTTTTTACAATAATTTTCTAATTCTGATAATATATTTATTATATTATAAATTGTAAATTAAAATATAAAGGATTATAATCTGTCCCGAGTTCACGATCAAGATAAAAGAAATTTTTGGGTGAGGTCATATTCTCTGCTGTCTATCAAAAATGATCATTGTAACCATAGTCAACATTTCTTTTAGTATGGTATCTAATGGTGGCTTAGTTGTACATTGTAACTCCCTTATCTTTTGTTATCTAATTTCGTTTTATTAATGCCTTATTTCCTAGTACAGTTATAAATATAATACTAATCTAGTAACCCACAGTTGTTGACGCAGTAAATATACACTAAGAAAAAAATTCTCTTGATTAAAAGTAAATTTTATTTGAATTGGAAATTTTTTTTCTTGATTCAAAATAATTTTATTTGTTCGAGAATTTTTATCTTGAATCTTACTTTAATAAACAAAAATGAACTCTGACATTTTTATCGGTTTTACGAAATCGATACATCGAAAAAAAACAAAATATTATTTGATAGTTTACTTCAATATAAATTGATAATTTGATCAGATAAACTTAGATGTTTTCGAGATTGCAGAGTACGATTAGCCTCAAGTAAACAGAATTTCAAGTCTTAAAAAAATAGGATTGTTTATTTGTTGATCATTTTTTATTTCAACACTGAGAATTTCTTAGCGAAAGAATAACATTAAAAAAATCCTTTGAACGTTTCCATCAAGCTCTTAGTAACTTGCAGTCGCTTTGCGACTGCCAAAAATGACGAATTACGAACATAAATACTTTTGATTAATGATTTTATGATATTTTTAATTACAATATATAGAGTTTAAAATTTTGAAATAAATTTTGAATAATATTGTAAATAATACCTATTATATCAATATACTATTGAAAACTCTACCAAAAACTTAATTTTTGATGATACCAAATTTGACTACACAAAACCATTTTATAATAAAGATATTCTCGTCACAAAATTATTTTTATTCTCTTAATTATATGGATTAATATTTGATATGTTTGACCACATTCACATATAAAAAAACAATATAAATTATTAATAAAATTAAAAAAAAATATGTTGAATCTTGAAAAGGCATAAATTTAGATCAAGATTTTTCCAACTACCCGTGTAAAAAAAAATCGTCTTAAAATTGTCTTAAAATTGTCGTTCGTTTAAGATCTTAAACGTGACACAAACTAAGACTATTTTAAGACTCTTTTAAGATGCCAAAAAAAAAAAATCCGAGATTTTTTAATTATTATTTTAATTTTTTAAGTGGCTTTAATGTTCGTAAACTTTTTAGTTAATCTAATAACAAAACCTAGTTATTAGATATTAAAAAATTTTTAGGCTATTTTCAGATGACATCACAGTGACAGCTCCGGAAAGTTATTATGGAGCGTCTTTAAATTGTCTTAAATTAGTCTTAAAAAAATCTTAAAAAAAAATTTAGACTATTTTAAGATGGGCTAACAGCGACAGAGCCCCGGTACATTTAAACGGAACGTCTTAAAAAAGTCTTTAAATTGTCAGATAATAATTTTTTAACAATTTTAAATTAAATTTAAAAACATTTTACTCAAAAATATTGCGGTTAGAAAGTCGTAAAATCATCTAAAAATTAATTTTCACAACAAATTCGAGAACAAAATTTTCAAAAATCTGCTCTCGTAATTTTTCTTTTGGCGTCTTAAAAGAGTCTTAAAATAGTCTTAGTTTGTGTCACGTTTAAGATCTTAAACGAACGATAATTTTAAGACAATTTTAAGACGATTTTTTTTTACACGGGATATACACGGAAAAAAATTTGTAGGATTAAAAATTTGACATCGTAATATAGGACCAGACTTTTAATTAATATCTTGACTTTTATAATTTTACATTTAAAAATTTACAATGTTAAATCGTGAAATTTTGTAAATATTAACTATTTTTACGATATAACATCATAAATTTTGAAACGTAAAATTATGGAAGTGAAATATTGAAGCCTGGTCCTGTATGTGACAATTGTAATTTTTCCTACAGTTTGTTTTTGTGTTCTAAATTAGAAAAAAAATCTATTTTATCATACATATATTGACCAATGAATTTTCACAATGATGGGTATAGTTTAAAGAAAAATGATATAAATAATTGTCAATATATATTTGTAGAAAATTGTATATTTATAAGGGTCATAACCAGGACATAATGCGTCCACATGTATAGAGTGTGCCAACGCATACGTGATTAGGGCCTCTGTCCAAAAAGCAAATACATGCAAAAGCGAGATAAGACTTGGCCTCTCATCTACTCAGACACCAGAGCGGAATAAAACAGAAGAGGAAGAGAATGGAGTGGAAGAACTGAACTCAAGGCGATATAATGTGTACAAGTCAACGAATTGACTCGAAAATTCACTACATGTACCTTGATACGGACAAACACAAGCTCGCTCTGGATCTGTATCCGTATCTGGCATCATCACATCGTCCATTATCTAATCCTAAGCAAACATTAGACGAATGTGTATCGCAACTAAATATAAATAGCTGAAATACAATAAGTATTGTGACGTGATGTGTGACTGTGTATCTAGATACTGATATGGAAGAGATAAATGAGAGATGGAGGTGGAGAATTGAGTGGAAATAAGAAACTAAACCGTTGTATTATATGTTAGATGTAATAGTTATATTAATAGTATACTGTATATGCTACGTAACATTGTATCTGTAACGTGTAGTTTAAAATAGCGTGAGAACTGAGAACGGAGAAGTATTAAAGCTAAAGTGAGTATAAGGGTATGAAGGAAGCGTTGAGGATACCCGGGAAAGTGCTCTAATTATTAATCAAACATATTGCACAAGTCGCATAAGGTCTGACCCCCGGAACGGCTACAGGAGTTATAATGCACTTACTGGGTGGAAATGAGATTATCTTAGTCTCACTTCTCCTATCCGCTGAAAATGCTTCAGTGTGCCCATACGAACTCGTTTATCAGACACACTCACCGTTTATACACACCAATCTCTCTTCTCTTTCTCTCTAAATATTTATTGTATCATAAATGCCAATTATGTTATTTACAATCACTCACTCATTTATTTACCAACTCAATCAGCCGTAACTTCGATTTTT